CCCCAAAATGTCTTAAAAGTGGTTTTTTCATCAAAATATGTCTAAAAAGGTGTGATTCAATCATAATTCTTTTAATATTTATAATATTTTGTCCATTATGGTTGGGGCATATTTAGGGTCTTAATGCCCCTGATTCTTTGTAAATCCGTTACTTGGATACCAAAAAACCCTTCGCGTTAAGACTATCACGTGGTTCTGATTCAGAGTCTTTATTAGTTGATGCAAAGAAAATACCTAATATGGGGAGAGGTCAAATGAAGGGTCATGGGATAAATCAGTTACATAATTGACAGCTCGATGATGCATACAAAATATCGTTTCGTTATTGCAAACTCGGAGGCTAACGCCTCCTCGCGTGCAATAACTCAACGATATTTTGTATGCATCATCTCGTGTCATCATGTAACTATTACATATTGCAGTTTTATTAACGTTGAAAATATGTAGAATATCATATCTATTATACACGATTATATCATATTTCTAAAATAAAAAAAAGAAAAGAATAAAGGAATAGTCTTCAAAATCGTTAATCAAGTAAAACAAAACAAATTCAGAAAAGGCCAAAAATACAAACCATAGAAACGCCAGATAAGGGACCAGGTGTGGAAATAACCATCTGATGTTGGTTGTTCACACCTGGTGTCGTTATAACTGGACGTTTCTTAAATCTATAAATCTATATACAAAAGAAACAAAAGGAGATAACGACCAGTATTCATGATAAAAAAAATCCATAAAACAACATAAACAAGAGGCCCAGGGGCCACATCGCTCACCTGAGCAATTGGCTTGGCAAAAGCACATATTAGATTAGAACTGAAAGTTTACAAGGGGGGGGGACTTGAATTTTAACCTCCATGTCATGATTTGAACAAACTAGAATCTACACTACCTGAGGAAGATTCTCTATAAATATCACAAGCATGGCTTTTAAGTACTTGAAAAAAAGATTTTTTAAGGTTTCCCTATATATTCCTATGTAAAACGTTTATCGGCCATTTGGCCGCATCCTACCCCCAGGGGGGGTCAAGATTTGAACAAATTTAATTCTACACAACATGGGGATTTTCATCTTTCCTGTCTCGATGGTTTTTGAGAAGAAAATTTTTCCTATATATTCCTATGTAAAACTTTGATCGGCCATTTTGGCCCTATCCTACCACCTACCTGAGGATGATTACACATGAGTTTCATCTTTCCTGGCCCAGTGGTTCTTGAGAAGAAGATTTTTAAAGATTTGTCCTATATATTCCTATGTTAAAATTTGATCGGCCATTTTGGCCCTACCCTACCCCCAGGGGTCATGATTAAAACAAATTTGAATCTACACTACCTGGGGATGATTCCTAATGAGTTTCATCTTTCCTGGCCCAGTAGTTCTTGAGAAGAAGATTTTTAATGATTTTTCCTATATATTCCTATGTAAAAATTTGATCGGCCATTTTGGCCCAACCCTACCCCCGTGGGTCATTATTTGAACAAACTTGAATCTATACTACCTGAGGATGATTCCACATGAGTTTCATCTTTCCTGGACCAGAATTTTTAAAATTGCCATTATTTTTTCTCTTATTCATGATTATTTCCCCTTGGAAAAGGGCGTGGTCCTTCATTTGAACAAACTTGAATCCCCTTTACCCCAAGATACTTTGTAGCAAGTTTGGTTGAAATTGGTCCAGTCGTTCTTGAGTAGAAGATAAAATGTAAAAAGTTTACGACAACAACGACGATGACAACGACAGACAAATTTTGATCAGAAAAGCTCACTTGAGCCTTCGGCTAAGGTGAGCTAAAAAGGAGCAGAGAAAACGCTGACCTCCAAAACATTAGAGGTGGGATGAGGTGCCATCGAGCTTGAGCGTCCCCTGCTGACCGGTCACACCCACCGTGTGCTCCTTGTCATGATCGGGAATTAACGGAAATGCCGTCGTCAATTCAGTGTCAAATAATGGACTAACAATTCGCATGAAAAAAAGTCAGTCACCATTTGACTCATTGATAAATTGTACTTGCTGACAAGAAAATCAAACGTAAAGGTCTAAGAAGACCGTGTTTTCGTACATGTACCATGTAGATGAAGTTTATTGTATCGACCATAGAACTTACGAAACGGTGACTTTCAACCAGGTAGCTAATATTCTTGTTTCATCAACTTGCTTTTTAATAATTTTCCTCGCTTTAAAATTGTTCTTACGTAGAGCATGCTCTTGCTTATCGAATCAACTGAAATATATAAACATCGTTGCAAAAGCAGAATTGCATGGAAAACATAGCAATCATTCTGAGGTTTGCATGCGAGCAATTCCAAGTGTATATACATGTGGCTCAAGGATGGACAGAGCATCTCTCTGATAAGCCAACATGTAAATAAAAAATAAAGATCGCGACGAGTTTTGATCCAAGATTAACGCAGTAGGGTGAAAGGGGAAAACACAGCAAGGGGAACAAAAGGATGACAATGACACTAAAATGTAATTGTTCATCGTAAGAAAGTACGTTGTTTGTTCGACATATTTAATTGAACAGTACTTTCAATTTCTTAATATTTCTTTCTCTTAGAATGAAGATTATTATTCAAGTGAAATGTAAATTTAAAAAGATCTAGAAAGAAAATTAGTCAAAATTGTTAAAAGCAGTCATAAAAAAATTCTTGAAATTGTTCCGTCTTTTTTTTTATTGGGCAATGAAACTTCCTGTAATTTGGTAAGAGGTGTCCGTAAGATTTTTTAATAAATACTATACCTATATATAATGACTTCCTCTTCAGGAGAGTATATTTTAACATGCTGCTATCCATAACAGGCATAACAGGATTGTTGTACAATACCCTTCCATTACAATTCGTAGATTTCTTTATCATAAATCTTAAAGCCATATATGGCGTATGTACAATGAAAATTATTAGACTAAAATTATAAGAACTTATCATTTGTATGATTACTTCATATAAAGATAGAACTTTTCCGTAAATTACAAAATCTAAGTCAGTTGCGTTATAAAGATATCACAATTTAATTTGGACTCTCGGAATTTTCTCCGGCTCGGAAGAAAATACAAAAGATTTAAATAATACATTATAGAGAAGATAAAATTGTAGTATTAGGTGAAACGAGGTGTTCTCCGTGTTCAGAATTGTATGAAAAGCTTTAATTTAAATGTATTAACTATATTTCTTTACTTAATTTTGTATTTTTCAAAAATACATTTTTTGATCAGTTACGCCATATATGGCTTTAATCTTGTTCTACATCGACAAAGTGTGGTAAAAGTTAGTTGAATGTAATAAAATGTAAAACAAACAGCATAAATTGGATTTTTGTTGTATTTGTAAAATATCCTTGCATACATTCTCAAAATAATCATGTTATACCCAGTATGTACGAATATACATGTATATAAAAGTTTCTGAAAAATGCCATGTACATAAAACAACATACAAAGTTTTACAAAACACATATGAAAATAAAGTTCTATATATCCAGCACGTGGCATCGGGGGAAAGCGGGGAGGGGGCTAGTCCCCATTTTATCCACAAATATCGTTTACTGTTAAAAATGTAGTTTGAAAGGCTGACCCAACCCACACCCTTTTTACAATAGACAACTAACAAGGCAGCGTATAAAAGTATGAAAAAAATGGCACCGAAAGAAGATCACCACCTCCTCGGATACGATTTTGTCCCTCTTCTACTTTCAAAACGATGCTTCATCTACGTCACAGATGTAAATAAGATCATCACTTCCACTACAAGTAACAGAAGGAATATCAGCTTTGGTATCAATATAACGTGTTAATTATTCTTTCAAATTAAATCAGGAATTAAAATTATCCCTCTCTCCCTTTTTCCCGTATATACATGATATATGTGAACAAAACATGGTTTTTTTCTTTCTAAAGCAAATTGTACATGAATGCATATACATTCATACATTTTAAAATTTTATTTATTTATTTATTGAATAACACCTACACAAACATTAAATTATACCTTTAAGGTCAAGATCTGGTAAATGAAAGGTGCCTACAGATTTAGCAAACTTGAGATATAAAATCGTAAACAAGATGAAAAACTTTATTTTAAACTGTCATTTTCAATGAAAAGTTAAGAAAACCAGTCATGAATATGGGAGTTTTTTCCGTATTCAACAAAGGAAATATATCCATATTGCATACAGTCTCTCGGAAAACGGTAATTAGTATGTACATAGCCTCTTCTTTAAATCGATATCAAATTTAATATTATAGGTATCCGGTTTACTTTTCATATGATTTCAAATTGAATGACATGAAAATACCACATTTTCTACATAATTCTGCTAAAGCCGTAAAGTACGGGAAAAAGAAAGTTGAAATTGATTATGAATTCATAATGGATCTAGCACCAAAAAATTAGTCTCAAGTTATTTACTAGATCTTGACCTTTAAAAAACTTAAGCCGTCGGCCACACTTAAAATTATTATTTTTTCCCATATATATATCTAACAGGGACTTTACATGTTCCTGCGGTAAATTCTTTCATATGTTTATATTTTCCCTGTTTAAAAAAAATATATGACCTAAAATGCACCAATAAGAATATTTCAGAAGCTGTTCATGAATTTTAACTGCACTACATGTTAACCAATCTCACAAGATTTTTTTTTTTGCTAATTTCAATTGTATGCATTGGTTTTTTTTCTTTTAAATCATTCAAAACAAAAGTACATCATATGTAGTTTCCTCGAGGTATAAAAAGACAGATAAAAATATATATATTTCAAGTCAAATCATGTTATACAGTAGAAATAAAAAGAAAAAAGGCACAGTGACTACTGTACATTTCCAGTAAGGAAAACAATATTATTATGCATCTTTTCCCTATATTTGTTGGCAGGGTATACTCCAAATAATTTTCCTCCTGAATCCTGAATTAAATTGATATGTAGAACTGAATCCGTTCCGACTAAATTTAAAAAAAAAAAAAAAAATATATATATATATATATATATATATATATATATATATATATATATATATATATATATATATATAAATTTAAACTCTTGATATTCTGGCGGCTTCCTCGGCGGACCTATTACTGCTGATCCGCGCCTTTATTTTGGCTGTTTGAGGCACGGAAGCTTGTGTCAATTGTGTAAAATCTGGAGGTGGCGGGAATTCGGCGGAAATCTCTTCCGGCGAAACACTCCCATTATGCGAATGAATTCCTGCTGTCGCTGCTTTTCGATGAACTCCACCTGGAGAACTTTGAGAAAGAATTTGGTCGGAGGGCGACACAGTCCTTAATATTCCCCGCGGTGGAGAGGAGATAGGTCTTTGACCTGAGGATGAAGAAGAATGAGTGGGTGAAGCTAAAGGTGACACAGTTTGTGTAACTGGGTCAATATAAGGGAGCATGCGCCCTGTCTTTGGTCCTGTAGGTGACGGCGTTCCACTGTCATTGGAAGTCTGTCCATTGACCAACATTGAGCGTGTGATCCCCATTTTAGGGACAGTTGGGGTGTTCGCTCCCCCGCTGTCGAGAGAGGAACTGCTGTTGTATTTCCGTGGCGGCGGGTGATCTCTCGGGGGTAATTCAGGACGAAATTCCTGGCTTTCACTCGGTCGTTTTGTTCGCCCTCTTCCGGCACTTTGGTCTAACATATCAGGGTTAACGCCTGGGGGGTACTGTGAGAGTGGGGAGTAGTCCAAGCGATTGACTCGGGGTGAATTCCCGGACCCGTCAGCTAGGTGATTGTAACTTTCTCGGAGAAATGCCTGATTATCATGACCTCGCAGCCCCGAGGATCCGTCGTTACTGGGGATAACAGAGCCATTGGAATGACCTGGATTTTGAAAAGTGATTCCATTTCCGCTTTGTATTGGGTTGGACACAGAAAAACGGTCTTCGTTGACATACATAACTTTTGGCTTATTTTCCAAGACACGTATCCGTAAATCTACAAAGAAAATTAATGCTAAAATAATCTTGAATTTTTCGGTGCTTTCATAGCACCTATATGTGCAAAAAGCATTATATTTGCAAAGAATTGCCTACCTAGGTACCTAAAAACGTATCTTAATTTATTATACTGTAGATCACTATATTTTCGCGACACCTTATTTTCGCGAGATATTCATTGACTCTCGATCAGCGAGACATAAATTTTTACGAATTTTGGTTACTGCTCTATATAATCCTACGGAGTACTATTTTATAGCGAGAATTAAATTTTCACGAGCACATTCTGTCGCGTAATTACGCGAAAAAAAAGTTCTCGCGAATAAAAAGTGATTTACAGTATGTTATGTTTTCTAGTTATACTTTAATGCATAATCATCAAACTTTGCCAAGCATATATATTCAACCTGTATAGAGAAACATGGAAAATTAATTAACAAAACAGCGACAGAGCAAACATGGACCACTAAAACATATTTAAAGGTGGGATCATGACTTGCCATGGAGGAGAAAACATCCCTTACAAACCAATCACAGCCGCCGTGTGCTCCTTTTCATGATCAGAAAAAAAATACCAAAAGTCTGTAAACTATTAAGTGTAAAAATTATCACCTAAAAATAAGTATGAAAAACAGACAGAATTTCGAGAATTCATTGTTCTAAGCCACCAATATCATGCAGTTACCGGGTATATTTAAATTCTTGAATCAAACGAAGAATTAAGCCCTTGCCAAGAATTACAACCCGCAACATCATACTCATAACTGAATATAAATTTCTGTTGAATATTACATTTGTACTCTGTGTGACTGTCATCACTTGATTAATTATCAAGGTCAAGAATTACAAAATATGTTTAAATACCTTTCATTTTGCTTTTGAAGTATCTGGTTATGACAATCAGTGATAAAATGAAAAGAACGAGCAAAGTGCCGATTAAGATGATAAGAATGATCTCGGCCATTCGGAACGCTTCTGGTTCAGTCTCTGTGGTCACTAGTGGCGCATTAGTGGTCACTTTCGCAGAGGAGAGCACACAGTGTGAGCATGTGTCCGCCGTACAACCAGCTCTTATCGCCCTTGGATTGCCGCTGATGTTGTAAAACCGGAAACCGGAAGTCAGGGTCAGTTGGTCATTTCGGTACTCACCAACCTTTTAAACAGAAAAAAGGCTTGTATTTTAATACATACTGGAAACTTAAAATAGCAAGATTTATTTTTATTTACGATATTATTTTTTTAATGTCCTATGTGTAAGGAACCTTTGCTTAAGGAATTTCTACCCTCGTAATTTTATAGGTTCAAAGTTCAAAAACTGCATTTATTCTCATTCAATATACTTTAAACTTTCCATTTATTGCAAAAAATGTATATGTCACCATATTATTTAAGATGTGAAACATAAATAAACAGAAGTGCATGTCAACATAAAAATTGTACATTTTTTGTAAACATTATTGAGAAAAATATGTAAAAACTGGTTAAAATACATAATTCTAATGCTGAGTGTTCCTAAATACTTCCTACTTAAAAGATACTTTTGAATTGTGAATATCAGGTAAACTATTTTACAGAAAAGCCAATGCCTGAATGAAGAGACCTTAGAAGGAGTTATTGCCCTTGTAAACATTTTTTAAAGATTGAATAATTGATTAAATATATAAAATATGCATTTTTAAAATTCTTTAACTAAACAATATTTATCATTACACCTATTGTAAAGTATTCTTCCAAGAGATATTTTTCTATAAGGTATGAATTTAAACTAATAACAGTTTTTGCAAAAACCTATGACATCATAGGAGGGTGGAATTACCTTAAATTTCAGCATTTCAGTAAAACAGCATTTCTACATAGAATTAAAAAATCTCAGATTTTTCTTGAAAGGAAGTCATAGTGAATTTAGAATCACAGAATGAAATCTTATCATGTAAATGTAAAATACTAAATAGGTTTTAAATAGATCCTCTTATTTTATGAACTTTTATAGATTTTGATTTTCCTGATTAAGAAGCGGCGGGTCGTCCTAAAAAAACCAATGGTTCGCTATACCTGTCTGTACTGGTAGGATTTGATGTCGTTCTTCTGTATGTTGAGAATCTGGAATCCTACATTTCCATTCCGTCTGGAGTTGAACACAGAGAAGGCCGACCCAGCTACTGTTAATTCTACATTCTGGATCTCGGTAACTACCTCATCTACGTGACCTTTTATGTTTTTACACGGGAAACTTACTCCCATACATAGTTTATCCTTCACTTTTTCCATAGCAGTTCCCACGGCGTAGACAGCGTTCATGACGTGTACAATGCGCTGATTTTTCAGGAATGTGTTCAGATTTGTATCGGTGAATTTCTTGTCATCGGGACAATCGACGTCCTTAGTCTTGTCAAACATCCCAGGAGGATTGCAATTGAAAAAGTTGGCCCAGAAGTCCCTGAACCAGTCATTACTAGCCTCAACATTCGGTTTGAGAGAGGCTAAATAAGAACCGAAACCATCCACGGTCGACCTAGTCTCGAACTTGGACGTGATTGAACCCTTCACAAAATCCCCAAACTCATCTAGAATATCTTGTCTCTCGCCCCAGTCTTCACTCGCCAGGAACACAACACTGTTATAGTTGTCTTTCTTCATCTTCTCCAACAACGACTTTAAACGGACATCCGTACCAAAATACAGAAACACATCAGAACCGGTTCTCTTCATTTCATCGATCACATCAAACAAGTTATCCTCGCCTTCTTCAATCTCAATAGCTTTGCCAATACAAATGTCACTCTCATTGGCATACTGCTTCAAGAGTTCCTTCCCTTTACTTCCATAATTGTTGTTCACGTACAGAATCCCACCAATGTATTGCCATTTGAGGTGTTTGGCTATTTCTATCATCGCTCGGGCCTGATCCACGTCGCTGGGAACTGTCCTCAGGAAATACGGATAGTTGACTCGGTCATCCAGATCTGGCGATGATGACGCATAGCTGATCACTGGAATACCTAATGACGTAAATTGAAACGTCATGGGAACAGTGACGCCACTAGCTGCCGCTCCAATCACTGTGACAATCTTATCAGGGTCAACAAAGTTTCCTCTCCCGTCTGGAATTTTTAGTTTCCCAGACAAGAACTGAGATAAAATTAGTGATATCCTGTTGTGACTGTAACAATCATCAAACGCTAGAGCACTAAAATCCATGCTCGTCCTTTGATTGATTTCCTTGACTGCAAAGAAGAAGGCCTCCACAGCTAAGACAAAGTAAGACCATGTGTTTAATTCTCCACAACTGTAAGTACTCGTGTCGTTAATCGTGTGAAGTGGAAATATTCCCAGAATAATAGCCTGACTTTTATTTCCGCCATAATAATAACGGTATGGGATTTCTGGTTTCATCTGACAATTCTCGCAGACACGAGAACAAGACGAGAATGAGTATGGGGATAATAAAGAATTGTTCACTTGTAGTGTTTGATTGACAAACTCCCCAACCTAAAGGCAAAAAACAGGAAAAAAATTAATTGTTAAAAACTATCTTGCTCCAGTTTTATATTTTAAAATGTATAAATGCGTATGGCTAACTAAACATTCGTTTATTATGTACTTAAGTGTCAAACAAGAATAGAATTGAATTGAAAGGAAAATTGTTTTGCTTGATAATATTAATAATTTCAACATTGTCAGAGAAAATTCAAATTATGCTAAAATGTTAGATGTTCTTTAATTCTATACTGTTCTAATGTTTTAGTACGAGACCTTTACAAACTGTCCATTTCTGAAGACGTTGATGTCGTATAATGCCGTAGATTCTGAGGCGACATAGTCTCCGTTTGCAGTAAATTGGATTCTTCTGTCCTGCTCAATCAGTTCCTTTGGTTCCTGAGAAGCGTTCAGTGAACTATAAGAGAAGTCTACAGTTTTCAATTTCTGTAAAAAGTTAGGCTGCAGATACTCTTCAAAGCCGTCGCACATTGCTGTATAACTCTGACATTTCTCCTTGAACACATCATTAAAAGCTGTTGCCATAGCAAACACTGCATCCACTACAGGGCGAACATAGTCCAGTCGGTAACTCTCCTGAGCCTCGTTTCCAACTTCATTCAACAATCTCTCGATTGGATCACTGGAAGCTGAGTTCTTATTCCGCCATTTTTCTTCATAGTGATTTCTGGCCCCTATGACTGACGTCGAGGCTGAGGAAACAGATATGTAACCACTAGAAACATCCTCAAATGCACTGAAAACGTCTTCACTTCTTCCAACAAAATCTGTCATTATCCAAATCAACTCACTGAATTTGTTATCCAATCGAAATCGACTCAATAGTGATTTGATCACATTCTTGTTTCCAAAGTAGATGACACCTAGTCTTTTATTTTCAGCACGATTCTGCTGTTGCTCTAGGTTGTTATACAAGTTTTGTCTTGTAATATCCGAGCTGAAATCTTCGGAGGACCCTACACTTACCACGACATCAACACAAATGTTATGAGACTTTGCTAAAGCCTTAATTTCATTTATCCCACTGAAACCATAATTGTCATTTGTATGTATAGCGGCCACATACGTCCATCTCAGCTCCAAAAGCAACTGAACAATTGCCTGCAATGCAATCGTAATTATTCCAAATCAACATTAGCTTTGTAATAGAGGAAAACATTATTTAAATCGCCCGAATCTCTAGTTTGCTTTATTAATTTTCAAGTGAGCTTGTATTATTCCAAATTTCAAATTTAGAAATATTGAAAAAGGGCTCCCTTTTCTTTCCTACCTTGACCTGTTCTGTGTCACTGGGTGTTGTCCGCAAGAAGTTGTCATAGTTGCTGAGCTCCGGGAGAGAAGCAAAGGGGCTCAGCATGGGTATTTTGGTTCCGTCCAGTAGCTTTACAATGCTGGAGGACGTCTGACTCCTTGACGTACCAAGGATGCCTTCACAATGAAAGAATGATCAATTAAGAAGAATCATTTTCAAATATAAATATAATGTTCGTACAAGTGAATATAATACTAGTAAGTATAACATTTATTTATTGGTAAAAACTGGAAAACAAGGTCTGTTTTATGTTAAAAAATATAGAAACACATTTGTGCCTGAAGACAAAATAAGCATTGTCATGTTATTCAAATTGCTGTTCAGGTAAAAGAGACCATGATCCTGTTATGAAAAACCTGGTCTGTGCGAAGAGTGCTAGAAAATATATATCTAAGTTGGAGGAAGTCCAGCTACTGGATACTTTAATCAGCACAAAAACAAAAAAAGAGCTGAGAAGGACCTTGTTGTTGACACTGCTAGTTATATTAGCATATGGATGCTCACTTGAGGATAGTGTTGTCGACATAGTAAATCAGTACAGGGCTATCTACCTAAGTTTAGAATGGTCCTGTTGTCGACACTGATATTTAGTACAGAGCTATCTACATACGTTTGGCATGGTCCTGTTGTTGACACTGCTAATCAGTACTGGAGTGCTTACCTAAGTTGGGAATAGTCCTATTGCTACCACAACTGGTCAGCAAAGATGGGAATTCTGCACTGACTGCATTCATTGCGCTGTATGTGCTGAGCCTATCTAAGCCACAATCGTCATATATATCAAATCCTACAAAGCAATCCCAAAGCATTTCAGATTCTTTAATACAACTTAATATTCATCAAATCCCACTTACTGCTTAAAACTGATCAAACTCTAAAACACACTGTAACCGTTATTAAAAGCAAAACCTACAACATAACGTACAAATCGAATTCTAGACCAAGGTGTCATCACATTTAATAACACAGTTTGATATTCATTAAATCCCACTAGATGGCATTATGCACATGAAATGTAAGGTAGGATCAGGAGCCATGGAGGAATAAACATCTCATTTCGAATGATCACATTCGCCATGAGCTCCTTGTCATGATAGGGCAAATAGAAATATCCGTAGACAATTCAGTGTAAAAGTAATGCTTTGACATCTTGCATGCACGAAAAGCGTCAACATTCGATTTTCTGATAAATTGTACTTGCTGACTTTCATTGCATTGACCATAGAATTAACAAAATACTGACTTTCCATGAGACTGCTTACAGCCTTGTTTCATGAACTTATTTGTAAATAATTTGTCTCATTTTAGAAATACACCATCGATATCACCTCATACATCAACACTACGTGGAGAAAACAAGTTCTACATGTATAAACGGAAATTAATGATTACTACAAAGCTTTACAGGGTTACTATAAAGGTTTAATAGATAGAAAAGATGAACAGAAAATTAAATCTACAGTAGTATAGTTGGTGTTTACTGGTCGGATACCAGGAGAGATTTGAGAAAATTATAGTTGGGAAAATATATTTATAGAATTCAACAATTAGAACATTTTCCTTAGTTATATTTTATAGTTTTATACTTAATATAATGTCTAATATATTGTACATTTTTATTTTGATAGCGATTTTATCATTACAGCTTTATAAATACTTAACAGGCAGATCTTCGGTACACCGGACAGTATTAAACAATATACAGCAGATTTTTTTTTCTTGTAGTAATTAAGATGATAATTTTATCAATGAATTGAATTAAAAGTTTAAAACGATAAACATCTGTGATACGTGGTATAGAATTAGAATAATTGTTGAATAATTGATATATAAATAAATATTGATTTAAGTGAAAATTTTACATTTTCAGCACCGGCCTCTAAAGTATTTCTCATTTTTAACAACATATAATTGTGATTAAAAAATTTGAAATATTTTAGGAGCAAGTTTGACATTGACGCTGACCTTGTATCGTCCTCTTTGTATTTTGAAATAAACGTAAAATAATCCGTGTCCCATTTAAAAATATTATGGTATAAAAATATTATACCATATTGACATAAATATTGTAATACCTTGGTAGTATAACGATAGATTCGTGTCCGTAGGAACCTGGTGGCACTTATTTTGCCGATATATAGAATACTTTAGAAAACATAACTACATATGTAGTTATATGCAATTGTGTCCTCTCAATAAAAACCTTTCCTGGCCTTTTTATGTCCCCGGCTTGAAAAGCTGGGGGGGGGGTATAGTGATAGTAAATGGGGGTTTCCATCCGTTTTGAACGCTTTTGGGCACATGTAACGCATCTCTTATCCACAACTCCTCTGATTGAAATTTAAGAGACTTTCAAAGAATCTTTGTTACAAAGTGCTTTTGTGCATCTTCTATATTATACTTTTTGATCGGACACATTTTTTTGATTTTCCATGGCAAAACAAGGACAATGCCATTTATTCTATAATATTGAAGGTACCGATGTTTAATCCGCAACTCCCCCAAAGTTACATTCTGATGATTTACTTTCAGAATTTCTTTATTACGTAGTGCCGTCCATCTCTCTGTTTTCAAACCCAGTGTGCTACAGATCTACATGTATGTTAAACTTAATTATCTTAAAATAACAGGGACATAGCATCCGGGGGGGGCCTGGGGGGGCCTGGCCCCCCCACTTTTTTCCCCAACATTACCTTTACTATAGTAAATGTTCAATGAAAGGACGGTTGGCCCCCCCCCCCACTTTTTACGATAGTATAGTGATGTCAAGGATTGTAGGGAAAAAATTAGAAGTGATAGTAAGTTGGCTTCGAAAAAGTTGGCCACTAACCCACCCCCCCCCCCCCCACAAAATAGGATTTTCGAGTTTGGGCAAACCTTTAATTTTCGTTTTTTTTTTTTTTTTTTTTTTTGCTTGTCAACTTTTTCAGGCAAGTAAAACAAATTTTTCTATGGTTGGCCCCCCCACTTTCAAAAACGATGCTACGTGCCTGAATAAAAATCTTTTGATATGCAAATTCTTGAATTAAAAGGAATCCTCATAAGATTCGTTAGTTAAGGAGTATCGTGTTTTTTTAATTGGTGGACAGATGAATGAAAAAAGAACAAATGAATTTTAGTGCAGATTTGAATGCCAAAGATACAATTATCGACACACTGGAGAAAGGTATGTACTACGATCTACTATAGTCTACTGTGTCGCTGCTATCTGAATGGGGTGTTTAATTCTCGGGTGAATGGCTCATAAAGGATTTCCATACCACTAAGTCCTCGCCCATAGAAAGTCCTGTCACTCTATCCAGCTTTATCAGGGAGGCGATCTTACTTTTTATAAATGTTCAGAATATCTGAACAGAGCATAAGTTATTTCATTACAGTTCGGTCTTACTTTAACGACATTTTATTAATGTAAAGATAACTTAAATGTTACAAACTCGGAGATAATGGCTCCACATAGATAATTTGATAGAAATCAATATCTGTAGGAACAGCCAAATATAGAATTGTGTTTTTGTATGATGAATTTTGTCATAAACACAAAAGTAGTGGGCAAATTGAATGATTTTCAGAACAGCTAATGTAACAGAATAAGATACGTATCTCAAAGTACACGTATTCTTCAATTTCTGCTTACATTTTAAGATCATTACTGTGCATGTACACATGATTAACCTCTTTCATGGTGAAAAGTAAACAGGAGATAATATGCAATTAGATGCAGTGTAAGGTGTTGTTCGTAGGCGGTTCGTATATGTAGATGTAACAGGAAAGCAGTTTGTATAAATTAATTTTGTCGTTTACTGAATTTTATTTGAAAATTGAAATACGTAAAAAAGAAAACACGGATCAAATATTTCACCTGACTATTTTTTCAGCATTACATGGATTGTATTATCATGAATTCAGCATTACAAGGACAGCATTATTATATGTTCAATGTCACAATGATTGCATTATTATGTACCCAATGTTACAATGATTACATTATTATGTACCCAATGTTACAATGATTGCATTATTATGTACCCAATGTTACAATGATTGCATTATTATGTACCCAATCATTGTAACATTGGGTACATAATAATGCAATCATTGTAACATTGGGTACATAATAAACAATGATTACATTATTATGTACCCAATGTTACAATGATTGCATTATTATGTACCCAATGTTACACTGATTGCATTATATTACAACACGTACAAGGATTGCATTATTACATGTATGTACTCAATTATACAGGGATTGTATTCAATGCTACACATTCAGTATTACAGCTTGGGATTACGTACCTAAAGACAGAATCTTCAGATAACCTGCAGAGTTGATGACATTGACGGCCCATTCTATTGCAGCCAAGTATTGAACTGCATTCTGGGATACTTTATAACATTCCTCCGTCCTCGTGCTCTGGCGGATGCTGCTCACTACGGCAAACCGCACCTGCGCAGTGGGATTTATAACCAGAGGATTCGCATGACATTGCTGGTAACAGGATACTGGGACAAACACAAAACAAACCAGGAAAATAAGAACGAACAAAAGGAATTGCGTCATAGTGTGCATCAATTAAGAATCTCTCTCGGTAAAAATCTCATCCCAATGTTTTACTGGGATGGACGTTGTACTTATCGCTTCCGCATTACTTGGGATACAGTTAATACAATCTAAATACAACGTACACCATCCTTTATTTCAACAATCATTTGTCACATTTCTTCCTTAACGCATTGGAATAAGTCCCTCTCATATTTGCGGTAGTCTTTTGTTGTCAGGAGGAGCTGTCATTAACAGTTACTCTCAAAGATAAATTACAGGGATATTTTCATTTTGTCCTCGTACTATGTAAGATATAATCCATACCCATGACTTGTGCAATTGAGTACTCGTATTGTGACATGTCTAATTATTACATCAATACGTACAAGAATTCAGAAGACACAGTTTAATTATCTGACAGTATACACACAGAAGTTAATCCGATTTCACATTGACAGTACCGAGAAGCACAAAACGTGTAACACAGTAGAACCGAACACACAGGTACTCAGTGTTAGAATCCAAATACGAAAAACCTGGGTTCCTACCGAGTACAAGAAAGGACAAACTGCGAATAAGAAGATCGACTCTCTTGTTTACGTTTTAAAAAGACCTCAGACTATTATGTAAACACAAGGCCATTTAATTAACTCCATCTTTAGCTCATTAATTAATAACAACACACACACGATCCAATATTTGTTATACATATATACACCCAATCCAGTATATGTCATAAATTACTTCCTTAGATCCGCGTTCTTGTGACCATTGTCTGTCTACAAGTACTGGACATCACAGAAGAAACAGTTAAGATACACTAAACAGGACGGAATCAGACTGATCGTCTGCCAAACACGAGGTCACGGGTCCATCATTACAGGATCATTATATCTTACGCGCGGTCTCTGTACCTTCTGCTGAAATCACTCATCCTCAACGCCAAAACAAAGCAACATTTTAAAATGACAACAAAAAAGATGTCATCATATCGCCACTCTCGCTATATACAGGTAGATAACATTTTGTAAACAACAGGTAAGTCTTGTCCTGCCACCTGTTGTAGGGTCGGATCAATATATTGAACTTCAGAAATTACAGACGTGTGTTGCTTCAGACTTCACTTCGCGATCATCTTTTTCCCCTGAGAATAGGTCATCCGTGAAGTTGAAAAGGATTGCATTCCGTAGAATAAAGCAATCATCCATATATGCATTCATAACTGATCAGTCAAGCGTGACAGGGGAGCGTATCAAGACATTTAAGTGTCAACACATCGCACACTTCACACAACATTCCATTTTTGACATTCTTTTTCATTACCTTTAAATTTCTAGTCGAGTTTATCTTGAATTTATATCTACAAAGTACACAAAATAGTGAATGACTTGATATCTCTAAACCAATTAGCCGATCCTTGGTCGATTTTTAAATGGACTACAGCTTATACACTACTGTTTGCTAAACTTGGTGCTCAACAGGAGTTTGTTAATGATAGTTGTATTCAATTTATTAAAAAAAAAAAAAAAACTATGATACAATTTTTTACATGAGACAATCAAAGTTGTTTTTTTTTTAAAGTATTATAAATTTGTATTATTGAGGTCTGAATTCTCAAAGTCGGAGTGCATATTAAGTGTATACTATCAAATTAAAAGAATATAGATCTGCATGTATTCGGTAATAAAAATTAAAATACATCTATCTGTGTATGTAAATTGTCATATATGTAGGTATTCTATTTTGTTTTGGAATTTTTGTACGCATTTCATATGGTATACACTATACGATGCAATTATTAATAAGTAACTTATAAATTATATTTTCCTCTTTAATTTGTATACTTAAAATGATAAATAACTTCAACAAATGTAATTTAGGATATTATGTCCAACAACCCCAAGAATTGAAGGGGGGGGGGGGCTCCACCATCAAATCCTACTTTGGGGTTATTGTTTTTTTTTTGTTTTTTTTTAATGTACATATATTCCTTTTTCGCTAAAAATGAAGATAATTTTTTTTTTAATTTTTCATATTTATTTATTTTCATTTTTGATTTTTTTTTTTATTTTATTATTATTAGTATGAGTAGTTTTTAAATACAAAACACAAAGGGCTACTGTCCATGAACCATGCATAGAAATGAAAAAGTATTGCGGGAATTAAAATTCTGTTCGATATTTTTCCTATATTAGCGTGCAAGCACATGTTTCCGTGTGTTTAAAGAGATGATGAGATGAGGACTTAGTTTTTCTGGTGCAATACTCCTTTGATCTCTGTCTGATTGGTATCTGATTAGGTAATAAGTATTTTTAATTTATAAGATGCATACGTCTTTGTACAATAAGCGTATATTTTTGTTGTCTAATCCTCTGACCATAACACCTGACCCATGCAAGCTCAGCTGCAGAGAGTAGCGTTCCCGCTTGAAAAATGGGAGGGTTTATATTGATCGGGATGCCCGTCCGTCTGTCTGTACGTCCATCATCCACAACTCCTCTTATGTAATTGAATGAAATTTAATGAGACTTTCACAGAATCTTTTGTTACATAATACCGTTGTGAACTCCTATTTTACTTTTTGACAGGTCTGGTACAATCACTTGATTTAGATACGTATCTTGATTTACCTACTTAGCTTTATTAACCTACCTGAAGTAGCTTTATTTAGCTACCAAATCAAACTTATTTCTTAAACTGTGAAAAGTTGCGCATTAAAATAGCTAAATAAAGCTACGTAGCTAAATCTACTGATTGTACTGGACCTGATTGAACACATATTTAAGGTTTCCCATAGCAAAACATGGACACTGCAATTCTTTCTATAATATTGAAGGGTACACATCTCTTATCTGCAAATCATCCTATACCACTGAATAAAATTTAATTATACTAAAATCAAAGATTCTTATGCAATAATGCCATATTGTGACCTCCTGACACTTTTTGATCTGGCACTTATTTTGGGTCTCCCAGAGCTAAACAAGGATTTAAATTAATATTTATAAAGATAAGGGAGCTCAAGGCAGGGGGAGGGGTATCATTTAGTCAGCTCAGTGCTCACAGTACAGTGGACCTCTAGTTTAGTCTTAATTTATCCATAACACTATGTATACAGAACCATAATGCAAACAAAAGGCAATTTACAGCACAAGAATTTCTGCACATGTAAAGGATCTATTTCTGGAACATTCCAGCTTTGGTCAATCATCAACCCTTCCCTCCCTAATATGGAGCACATTTTAACCATTTATGTATATTATATTACACAGCTGTATATTTTTTCCACCTCTAAACTGATCAGTTGGTGCTTTGCTTAATGTGTTAAATAAGTTTTTAAATTAAAATCAGTAAATACAATTGCTAATAAGAACCAAACATTATTTATATTTTTGAGAATAACAACTTTATTTTTGTTGAATCAAGTAAAACATGTAAAGTGTTATTTTATATTACAGATGGGAACTGTTGGTACAAATGGGAAAAACAAAGAAACTGCAAAAAAGCGAGAAACCCAGTAAAGTTAAACATTCCAGCACATTTAAACCACACTCTAAAAAGAAGTCAAAAGGGGTTAAGAAAGGAAAGGGTATTAGCAGCTCCTTGCTGGAAAATGTGTTGGATAAACAAGAAAAGTTTTATGGTAAAAGAAAGACAACTTCTGCAAAACATTTGAAGAAAAAGAAAAATCAAAACTTACTAGCTTCAGAAAAAGTAAAAAAATCAGGACAAAGTGCTTTCGATGTGTTGCGAGCGGGTGTGTCAGAAGAGACAAGTCAGGACAATATTCGTACTAGTGAGCCCCAAGTGGAAAGGAAAGGTCCGGCTGAAGATAAACCAAAGAAAAGTCTTGGTAGTAAAAAAAGTAAAGGGAAACCCAGTGTGTTGAGACAAAATTCAGCAGGGCGGGATATAGAGACTTCCAGTGGAGCCAGCTTACCTGATAAGAAAACTTATAGTAGTGTACACTTCATAGGTGTGGACATTCAGTGTCCTGATCCCGAGGCAAGAGAGGGCAGCAGAAAGAGGAAAAGAAAAGAAGACACAAAACTACATCAGACGGGGAAAACAAAGGAGTCCTCTGAACAGAAAACAAAAGGTGAGCAACAGTTCAGGTGATTTAAAGATGAAAAAAAGAGCATTTCGCCATTAATTTGTTTGTATTTTTTGTCTTTAAAAAAGAGTTGATGGATAAAGAGAAGAAAGAAAGAGTTATATTTAAATATTAATGATAGTATATGTGTAGTAAGTTTGTGGGACAGACAGGTTTAAGGTTATCTTAATGTAAAGTAGACATGATTTTTCACCAATATTTTACAGTTCTCATTATTTTTATACACAAATGTAGTACCTTTTTTTTTTATTACTGTATTACTTATTTCTTTCAGATAAAGGACACTTAAAGAAAAAAGGAAAGAAAAGAAAAATGGATGAAAAAGAAAGCATTGCAAACAAAGAAGGGACACAAGAGAATTCCACTAAAACAAAGAAAAAGACTTTAAGAGAGTCACCCACACAGTCAGGGGCAGACAACTCTGTTGTGGAGGAGCCCTCTCTGGAGGTGATAAATCTCATCGACTCGGAATCTGAAATATCAGACAGCGATTTCTCCGTCATTGATCTCACCCTGGATAATACTGAAAACGAGGCGGTGAACTTTGAACCCACCCAAGACTTTGAAAACCTCACAGTTTCAGAGAAGAGAGAAGCTATAAATGGGGAAGAAATGAGGACAAGTTCAGAGATTTTGGTTGTAGATGGTAGGGAGAAGGGGGAAATTGTTCACAAAAATAACAGAACAGAATCAGATTGGGTGGAAGAAGGGTCAGGTCAGGAACAACAAAGGTACACAAATTTACTCTCTGGCAGCAAAGCTTACAATGTACTTTATATGATGCTTAGCAATTCTGCATACTGTAGATTGGGAAATATTCACGGTGGTTTTAATTTCGCTATGTTCGCGATTTATTAATTTTCCGTGAAATTAAATCCATCGTGAATGTTAGTTTTAGTTTTTAATTATGTTGAATTGCTATAGGAAATTTTTAATTAATTTCTCGCAGCGTGAAATTAAAACCATCGCAAATGGTACTTTTTGAGATATCGTGAAATTTTAACACCGTGGAATTAAACCAATTTACAGTAAGTCATACTGGTCAACATTACCTGTAATTGTGCAAAATAGGACACAATGCTTTGACATTTGTATTTAAATGTGTTAATAGTAAATATATATTTCAGGACTTTGGATTTTTAATTTCCTCTTAGAAATATTTTATGAATGTCATAATTTTCTTGGCAGACCTAGAGCTTTGGGGGCCTTTGATGGTCAGGTGCTTGTTGTGTTACCTAACCCCGGTGTGTACTGTTACCTGGGCAGGTGCTTCCTAAAATGTCTCCACGGAGGGGCCATGGTGCTGGGGTACCAGTTAACAGACCAGTTCCAGGCCTTCTACTCCCCCTCATGTAGCAGCCTCTTAACCATCAGCACGAGTCAGACACAGACAATGGAGGAGGATAAAGAGACTGAACCCGAGCCCAACAGGAAAAAGAAATCTAAATCAAAGAAAAAGACCAGGGAGATATTAACAGAGGAAGGGAGGGTGGAGAAGATATACACAGACTGGTTGTTACTGAGTAAGGATATGGAGAAATTACCGCGGGAGAATGTGACCATTCTGCTAGCCAGGAAGATGGAGTCCAATGTCTGTGAGTACATATCTACCTTCAAGGCATTCCACAAACTCTGGGATAACCCTGTCACTACTCAACAGAGGACACAGGACCTTGGCTCTGATGACATTAAGTTGACCTCTGTGGGACTGACCTTCATTCCTGACACTGCAGTGGTTGCCAGGCAACATGTTTCTCAGCAACAGATGGAGTTAGTCCAGAGATGGGATGAAGTTCTGAGCTCTGGTGGGTACATTTATCCTATGGACAGAATATTGTAGATCTGGATGTTTGAATTAAAATTACTTAACGTCAAATAAACATGTAGGTCAAATTTCATACGGCTGATATCTGATTTTAAAAGCCAAGCAATATAGTTATCGTTCAGTGTTAAGAAGTGATTATTAAAGTATTTTTAGTTGCTTATCAAAAATGCATACTTAACAATAATTTTACATACTTTTTTTCAGATCGGGCCCCCATAGTTATGGTAGTTGGTGGAAAAAACTCGGGTAAATCTACCCTGAACAGATATCTTGTTAATCATACTTTAAACAAGTAAGTCACTGAATATCATTATGAATCGGTAAAAGATTTCAGTATAAGTACAGTTCTATTTACAGGGAAATTTTTGCCCCTTTTATCCCTTTTGCCAGGTTTGTAAATTTAAAACATTAAGCCAAATTCAAAGAACTGTTTCTTAAACAAAAATGTGACAGGGTGAATTTAAAATGGGGCAAAATGGTTTACAAGTGTAAAAGTGCAAAAATAACACAGTATACAGTGTTTTGTTATAAGGACCCACATCAAGTGATATTGACCTCATACACAGAGATTGATGGTGGATAATTGATGAATACATGTACATCAAGTGTCATCCTTTAAGCCACTGAAAATTGGAATCTTCTTACTAGACGTGTATTAAATTATTAGAATCTTTAGAATATCTTTTAAGCTTTAGAAATAGGATGGAACATTGTTGGTTCTATTACAATCATTTTAGACATCAGAATTTTAAACAATATATTATCCTTATATTTCAGGAGGTCAGAGTTATGTTACTTGGATTGTGACATTGGGCAGACAGAGTTCACTCCCCCTGGTTGTATCAGTTTACAAGTTGTAAATACGCCACTTTTAGGTCAGTATAAATTAAAGTCCATTCCATACTATACTTAGCCTAAACTATTAATAAATCATGTAGCATTCACTGAAGGAAAGAAATCAGAGAAAAGTTGATAATGTCTTCTTACTATAACATGTGTAGCCCTATTTCATTATTATAGGTCCACCATTTACTCATCAGAATATACCTAAAATGTGAGTAAATTATTTTAATTTGAATGAACGGCTAAGTATAACATAACATACATATTTTGTGAATACATAGAGAATAATACATACCCTTTTCCATGTCACATCCTGTATCAGCCCGAGACACCAATATCAACCAGAGGTCCGAAGGCCAGAGGGCAGATATTGGTCGAGGGCTGATACAGGATGTGATATGGAAAAGGGTATGTTTTATTATGTTTATTACATTACTTATTAATAAAATACAGTACACATTAGTTGAGAAGAAAATAAGTAAATAATCATGCATGGACTTCTTACATGTAAATGTACATGGTCTATTGTCTCATACTGTTTGGGTTTGTTTCTACATGTACTTCTATTTCAAATGCGCCCGATCCGTAATTTGAAATTAAATTAGATTATCCTAACATTGAAAAAAAATAAAATTAAGAGAATGTGTAACCCCCAAAATATGTGTATGATCACAAGAACTGTTTTTTGAGGTTTAATTTTCTAGGGGTGTGATACGTACTGATCTGCATCAGCCCCACAAATCCACATCAGCCTGCAGGGCTGATATGGCTAATGTGACATCAGGCATATCGCATATGCAAAAGTCGTGTATTTATTTCTAAGTATGTAATAAATGTACATATTGCTAAATTCATGGAAAAATTCTATATTTGAAAATAATCCTAATACATGTAATGACACTAAAGATAATATTCACCCTAAAGAATATTTAAAAAAGCAACTAAAATTTATATAGCTAAATACATTTTGTCACTAGTAGAGTTTTAATTGTTATACAATATTTCATTCCATTGATTCAGTGAAAACAGACAGGACTATGAGTTATTACATTTCACTCTTCTGTTTCCAGTTGCTATTATTATGGCGGTTTGACTGCCACAGACAACCCTAACTTGTACATGGAGTGTGTCAGGAAATGTCTAATGGAGTACAGGAAGTTAGAGGAAACCAAGGAGTCCAGGCTCCCCCTGGTGGTCAACACAATGGGGTGGATCGAAGGTTAGTCAACACAATGGGGTGGATCGAAGGTTAGTCAACACAATGGAGATATGTAATAAACACAATGGTTGACCAATTATAAGTCAACCGGGTGGATCAAATGTAAGTCACATTGTGGTTGTCAACAAAATTATTGTGAATAAAATGTTGTAGCCAAATCTTTGCAAACCATTCTCAGATGCAGCAAAACTCAGTTATAACGAAGTCACTGGGACCTATGAAATTGCTTTGTTATATCCGTAATTTGTTATAACCATGTAAAGAAATTTATTTAATTTATATAGCTGGGGATCCAAGATAACTTGCTACATCCGTAAATTCGCAATATCCGTGATCGTACTAATGAGTTTTACTGTAAGTTGTGCTATGTTGGTCAAAACATTGCATTAGACTAAAGTAAGCTACAGAAGAATATATTTTATATGTAATACAAATGCATTTAATTTTCTGAATGATTTCAATCAATCAGTGATTTTCTTCTTGGTTAGATCTGGGTCTGGAGTTGTTGATCAGTGTAATTAGAATGACCCTCCCCAGTCTCCTGGTCCAGATCAACTTCAGGAACAACAAGCTGAACGCTGCTCCTCTCAACCCTGAGTTTGTCAACGACAGAATGGGCTGGGTGGGCCACTCTAGGGTAAGTATATTTAGAGGCAGATAGTGAGTAGTAGTTGAAAAGATAATAGAAATTTTGTATAACTGACTTGGAAGATATTTCTTAAGGAATCATCTAGTTAGTATAGTCAACACAATGCAAAATAATTTATGCATATAAAATTATCTCACGTTTCCCACTATCATTGATGTCCCTGGCATACCATACTATCTAGACAGTGATTCCTTATATTTCCATTTCATTGTGAAATGAAATTGTACATTTAGATTTTAAAAAAAATATAGACTAATAGATTTGAATTACATGAAGACTCTCATGCCAATTTTAATAGTCCTCACCCACTAACATCAAACGCAAAGACAGCCACATGAGATTTACCGTACATGCATATTTGACCTCCTTAGTGTCAGACACAAAGACAGACGTGCAAAAGATTTACATGCACATTAGGCCTCCTTAGCTCTTGACCTATCGACCTGCCTAATTTACATTCCGGTAAAATTATCGAGAAATCAACTCCACTAACTTTCAAAGAGTTATTTTGTCATGCATTTTCTTTTATCACAGTCTTTCTCTAAAATTAATGTTGATAACTTGATATTTGATAATTTGCTGGCTCAGAATGCAAGTTTCATTGGTAGTTACAAGTTAGAAATTATAAATCAATGAATTTGATTTTCAGATGGGTATTAGTCTGTTGGTCTGTATTTCTGTTCAAACCCTTTCTTACAATTTATGCAGCACAAGTTGGGGGCAGCATTGTTTAATTCTTTATTTGGTAAATGAAGAGTTGCAAATTCAGTACTTTTAATATTTAAGGAATTACAGTGAAAAGTGTTAAATTTCTCATTTTACTATTTTCATGTGTTTTACACTGCAATCCGACACCCTGCGGCTGCCTATTCCAACTTATTTTGTCTGCCAGTGCATGTTGGGTCAGACGTGCCTCACTGATGTACATGAACCACTTAATGTCAAATTCAAGGACATTAAAAAATGGATTTTCTGGTTAATATGATCAGGTGTAAATGACCTGTACCCTTGATTGATGTAATTTACATTGTAGTATTACAGGAGACCTTTAACCCTGATTGATTTTTTATATTGTAGTATTACAGGAGTCATGACATGCTGGGTATACTGGGAGATACAGACCACAAACTAGTCAGAATGGACTCACCCACTAATGTTGTCAGGTATTACACAGACTGTTATGTACTGGATGGAATTTTATGAATTGTATTGAGTAAACAAGTCTCGAATCTTCTTGGCTGATTGAAATATTTCTAGAAAATAGTGAATTTTTTATGAATATTTTTTACAAAATAATTTTTATAATTGCAGTTTAAATATTTAAATTTGATAATGAAATAAAATGAAAATCAAATCGCTACTGTTTTCTAGAACTTTCTTCCAAGGCAAGTTATAATTTCTAATATTTGAAATTATTATATTTAAGATGTCACAATCATTGGAAACCATTTGAGCTGCGTGATCTCGCGGTGATCAGTTACATGAGTTCCACACTCAGTAAGGACTCGAGCCTGAGTCTGGAGACGCCCTACGGAGTTCCCTGGGAGGACGTGGCTATAAATATCTGTATGAGGGGAATTCCCAGGGAGGAGTGGATGTCCGCAATTAATGCCACCATTGTAGGTCTGGCTCAGGCGGACTTGAGAGAGGTAACATTACAGAGAATGCGGGATACATAGAGAATCCTCTCTACTGAATATATCTGTCAATAATTCGGCTAATGCGGGATACATGTGATTGATTTTTATTGTGTGATATTATTCCAGGCAAGAAAAGAGAAGGAAGGGGAGCCATACTTTTTTGCAAGCACACCAGTCTGTTTATGTATTGGATTTGGTTTGTATTTCACAAATGATAGTGTTATATATAAATTCGGATCAAAGATTATAATAATTGGAAAAAATAGCTTTGGAAGAAATATACAATGTCCTAAGAATCTGAAAATGAAAATTGCTTATACATGGATTTCTTCCAATCCCGATGCTTCAGTATCTAAATTTTTTAACGTTATTTTGTCTTGTTTAAGTGGAAACTCATACAAATGATAACAATGTCCTAAATATTTCAGAATGAAAATTGTTTATGCATGTACATGTGTAGCTGCTGATTGATTTTGAAAGATGACAAAGTTTCTGTTCCTGAAAGAAAACATGTTGTTCAGGCCCTTGCCTTTTTATGTAGGTATGGTCCGGTCCATTGATACTGTGAAGAAGATGATTTATATAACCACACCACTGAGTCTCGTGGATCTGGTCCATGTCAACACCATCATCCGCGGCTCCAGTAATATCCCACAACAAATATTTACAGAACAAATCACCAAGGTATGTTACCAAAAGAGAAGATAATTGTGACAGACCAGACCAGGATTTGAACCTGGGACCCTGAATCTTCTGTCCAATGGACTGAGCCACCTTTGATTAACGTGTCTGATTGCCACATGTACATGTATTTTTCAGATATTAAAATGATCTCCCAGATATGTCTTGATCTGTTACTACATATGTATCTGTTGGTTAAAATGTTTCCATATGATGATTTTAGGAAGTGCGAGAGATTCCCTATGTGAGTAGAATAACATCAACCTGGGCTTCCAAGAATCCTAGACAGAGAAAGTACATCCCATCCAAATCAAGGACCACATAAAAGGAGACAAAAAGTATATACGAGCAAAAATAATTTCCCAGACATGTCATGTTGTTACATACATATATTGGTTAAAATGTGACTGAATTACTGAGGGGTTATATAAGTATATATAAGAATGGTGGTGATAACAGACTACATATGGAGAAGGAATGGGGAATAGTGGACATTACTTATTTCATGTCTAAGACACAAGCATCAAGAAAGATGAATTTACAATTAAATGTCAATTATGTTACATTCCTGCAAAAAGGTCACAATTGAGGTCACATGATCAAAATTTCTGTACCAATAGAATCTTTTTGTTATAATGAACACTCGTATCAAAAATTAAAGCCTTACCCTTGACAGTGCAACAGTTATGGGCTAGGTTAAAGTTGACAACAGACAGACAGGATTATAAAAATAATATACACTAGGGATCTCTTGATGCTGATGCATTAATAGAATGGTGGCATATTTCTGCCTCCTGCATGCAAAATGAATTATATGTCAACATACAACATAATTGTCTAGATATGCAACATATTTATATCAACATGCAAGTTCATTTTGTTGTGTCAGACATATGCAAGTAAAAATCCATACTTACGCCCGTATCTGACTTCGTAGATGCAAGATGCAACATAATTATATCGACCTGCAAGTTTTGTTAACATGCAAGATAATTAAGTTAACATGCGACTTATTTATGCCAATATGCGAGTTATATTTTTAAATAAAAGATATTTTTGCGAACATGCAAGATAATAAATTGCTTTTCAATTTACATATCTTGGATATTAAACATAAATTTCTTGTTTGTTTACATAAATAAGTCACATGTTGACATAATTATCTTACATGTTGACATAAATAAGTGACATGTCTACATATATATATTGTATCTTGCATCTACGATGTCAGATGCGGGCATTAGTATAATGCTTCTGAATATGACATTAATATGTTGCATGTGTACCTAATTACCTTGCATGTTAACATAATTTATCTTGTATGTATGGACCAGAAGCATGCCACCATAAAAAGTCATAGACAAGATATCAAGTTTTATGGTGCTGAGCTTATTCGCCAGAAATGAAGTGAAATAATTATCACAATGATTTAAAGTTCGCAGAAAAATCATGAGGATACTATTAGTTAAATTTGAAATACTGTAATTTACTCCATTTTCTACTAACAGTATTTCAACTAACGGTATTTTCAGCTCACAAGAGCTGAAATGTCATGATCGCATTTTGTCAAATTGTGAAAATTCGGTGGTATGTTTTGAAAAAAAGTCTTATCAAGAACCACTGGACAAAAACATTTAAAAAAACTATATAGTATACAGGGTGTCCCAAAACATATGTTACACTTTTAATCATCTATAACTTTATCAAACCACAAGCATTCACAAAGATATTTCATCAACATCTAGTGTATTAGCATACATTTTATCTGACAAACTTTCATGAAATTCTGTTAAAAATTCAGGTAATTATGATGTCCAAATGACGTCATATTTTTAATATGGAACCTTTATGTGAACAGCTGATAGAAATTGTCAAAATTTAATATGGGTGTAAATCTACTACTTTAGTCATTAGAACCATGAGAAAACAACATCCTGTAATGAAAGTGCCCAACAGAATGCTACTTTACAGATTTGTGAGGAAGTTTGAAGTTGAAAGGCACCATAAATGATTGATTGATTGATTGTATACTGTTTTGCGTCCCTCTCCAGAATATTTCACTGATATGGAGACGTCACCATTGCCGGTGAGGGCTTCAAATTTAGGCCTATGCTCGGCACTAACGGCCTTTGAGCAGGGAGGGATCTTTATCGTGTCACACCTGCTGTGACACGGGGCCTCGGTTTATATGGTCTCATCTGAAGGACCGCCCCATTTAGTCGCCTTTTACGACAAGCAAGGGGGTACTGAGGACCTATTCTAGCCCGGATCCCCTCGGGGCACCATAAATGTATACATGATTTAATTCTGAATGTATACATGATTTAATTCTGAATGTATACATGATTTAATTCTGGTATTAGAAGACCAAGGAGTGCCCGTACCAAGGAGAACATTAATACCATTAATAGTGATTACTCTACTGAAACTTTATTTTAAAAATCCCTTAGACGGGTCCTGTATGAACAAGATAGCACCTTTGGTAAAGCAAGCGTTCATACAATACTCGAATTCAATTTAAAACTGGTTTCTCATAAGATAATTTAATGCAGCATTTAAAAGAGACAGAAATTAGAGGTTGTTTAGAGTTTTCCCATTGGATTTTAATTAGACCTGACTGAATATTTAACAGATGCATCATTTTCCGATGAAGGCCACTTCCATTTTAACAATGTTGTTAAAGAGAATCTTAAATTCTAGTGTTCGGTGAAACCTAATTTAAATGTGGAAAAACCTCTAAACTGTTATAATGTTTCATTTAAAACTTTGTGAATAAAAACTTAGGATATTGTGAGGATATTGTGTTCAAACAATGTTAATTCCAAGAGACCGAATTTGGAACATGCTGTAAAATGATCTATTTTATTCTAAAGAAAAAATATTCATGATTAATAAGGAAACTGTAAGAAATGTATGCCTGACAAAAAAATATAATAATTTTAATATATATTTTAAATTTCATTAATGTACTCAGTAACTTGAGGCATAAAAATTTTTATAACAGTTTAAAAAAAGTAACATACGCTTTGGGACACCCTGTATAGGTACATGTAACTATCCTTACATAGTATAGATTCAATTTTGATCAAATGATGACCCCCGAGAGTAGAGTGGAGCCAGAATGAGGGATAAAATTTTACATCGAAACATGCAGGAAAATATCTTTAAAAGCTTTTCAAGAACAGCCATCCATGTTAATTGATATAAATACGGGAGCATCCACAGGGAGTGTACATTCAAGTTTGTTCAAATGGAGAATCTGAGGAATGGAATGGTCCAAGAATGGGAGAATTAGAGTTTTACATAGGAATATTTTAAAATTTCTTCTCGCTAATAGCAAAGCCAATTATTAGCCATCTTAAATATGTGATATTGGTATAATGGAAGCATCCTTTCAAGTGATTAATTCTAAATGATGACCGTCAAGACATTTTGGCTACAAGGGGGATTGGAATTATAAATACGAATATATACATGTAGAGAGATTCTTAGGGGGAAGACTTTAAGTCTTACCCCTAAGAACAGCAAAGTCATGATTTGTGTTATTAATATGAAAGCATTCTCAAATAAAGTAGATTCAAATTTTTGTTAAAGTGATGACCACTGATGGAAAGGTGGGCATTTTGATCAAAGTTTAAAATAGGAACATGATAGGTTCATCTTATAAAAAATCATCTGAAGAACAGCAAAATTATGATTAAACATCTTGATATGTCAACATATCCTAATGTAGTATAGATTCGACTTGTTCAAATCTTGACTTTACTAAGCATATTTGGGTAAAGTCAATTCATATTTGTTTAAATGAAGGGCCATGTCCTAACACAAGGGGAAATAATTAAGAAATATTGAAAATTTAGTGGCATTTAAAAAAAATATTCGTCTAAATTAAGAACCAATGTGCCAGGAAAGTTGAAACGTATGTGGGAACATCCTCAGGTAGTGTAAATTCAAATGAAATCATGAGGCCCTGGGGTAGAGCTGGGCCACAAGGGACGATTCAAAGTTTTACATGGAAATATTTAGAAAAATCATTTTTTAAAACTCTCAAGAACAGCAAAGCCATGATTTGTCATATTTATATGGAAGCATCCTCACGCAGTATAGATTGAGTTGTTTCAAATCATAACCCCCTAGGGTAGGGGTGGACTAGAAGGGACGATAAAAGTTTACATAAACAGAACAAGAACAGCAGCAAAGCCATGATTGGTCGTATATTTATATGGAAACATCCTCGCACATTGTACATGTTGTAGATTGAAGTGTGTTCAAATCATGAACATTAGGGTAGGGGTGGGGGACCACAAGGGATGATCAAGGTTAACATTGAAATTAAGAACAATCTTTTTGAAAAAAAAAATCTTCTCAAGAACAGCAAAGCCATGATTGGTCATACTTATATAGATGCATCCTCAAGTAGTGTAGATTGAAATTCGTTCCAAACAATTGACCCTAAGAGAAGCATCCTCAGGTAGTGAAAATTGAAGATTGTTCAAAGAAAGACCCTCACCCATTTCCCTAGGGGTAGGGCGGGTCTGCAAGGAACGATCAATGTTTTATAAAGAAATATATGGAATTTTTTTTAAAACATAGGAAAAACCAATTCCCTAAAATCACTGAGCCAGGAGAAATGAAATCACGTGGAAACATCTTCAGGTTGTGTGGGTTAATTTTTTTTACATGAAGTTGGTGATAAAAGTACTGTTTGTTTGAAACTAAAAGAATGTCTATAAAATACATATGTGCATTATTTTAATTATTCCAAGACTGAATGTTTGAATTATGAATAAAAAATGCTTATTGAATAGAAAATATGCGAAAATTTCTTGTAGATATTATTTATTAAATTTAGAAAATCATAACATATCTTTGGGTCTGTACTGTTTACTTGAACTACTAGTATATGGGATATTGTTTTAAATCATAATCATACAAACTCTACCTTTAAAAAAATCAATGGCCAAAAGGAAAAAAAAACAAATTTGTACTAATATAATTTCGGATCGGACAATATACTCGAGCAATTAAATCCCGCTTTTCAGTTCGTTCAATACTTTGATTTTTATTTGTTCTGATAAAGAATCATATCAGACATTACAGTTGTATTTAGTTATTAAGTGGCATTTACATGAATTGAAAATTAAATCACATTGCTTTGGACGAAGTGTTGAAATTCATCTCTTTATGTAATGACAAAGATCCTTCCGAAACAATGATCTAGACTAGCAAAAGCAAGAATTTATTTGTTGTTGAATGCTTTATTCTATTTATTTGTGCTTCGGAGGTACTTGTAAACAGTGACAGTAGCACTCCTCCAATACCCAACCCAAAGACCGTGTTTATCATCCACACATAGAGCATAAGGTTTGTATGGACATTGATCTGGTGTAAGAAGAAGGATATGGAAATAACGAACAGTATTCAATCTCAACGTCCATTAAACAAATATACAAAACAAGAGCAGAGCAAACACGGACCTCCGAAACATCAGAGGTGGGATCAGGTGCCATGGAGGAGTGAGCATCCCCTGTCGACCGGTCACACCCGCCGTGTGCTCGTTGTCATAATCAGGAAATAACGGAAAAAATCCGTGGTCAATTCAGTGTATAAATAATGGACTAACAATTGGTATGAAAAACGTCAGTCAGCATTTCATTCAATGATAAATTGTATTTGCTGACAAGGTCATTGTATCGACCATAGAATTTACGAAATGATGACTTTAAACGAGACTGTTGATATTCTTGTTTCATCAACTTGCTTGTCAATAGTTTACCTCTTTTAAGAAATTGTTCATACGTAGAGCATGCTCTTGCGTATCGAATCAACTGAGATATAAATACTCCGTATGCAGGTGATGAAGGTATATTGCTGCATAAGTAAGGGAAGTTGACGATAGAAAATTTAAAGTCATCACGTTTATCATATAGCTTGGTTGTTAGATTACCATTTGTGTCTTTTTCAAGTAAAATATCCAAGTATGAAGCAGAAGTGTCGGACTCTGTGGTATCTTTTATCTCAAGCTCACCAGGATATATCGTGTCGACGTAGGAATGGAAATTATCATTATTAATTGACAATACGTCGTCGATATATCTAAATGTCGAGTTGAAGGCCACAGCAAGTGTTTTTTTCTTTTCACGCAAAAGATTTTGCATAAATTCTGCTTCATATGAATATAAAAATAAGTCTGCTAATAACGGAGCGCAATTTGTACCCATGGGAATTCCAATAGATTGTTGGAATACCTGGTCTCCAAAAACCACATAGATATTGTCAATCAGAAACTCAAGCATCTTCTTGATGTCAACTTCAGAGTACTTGTGTGTGCAATCAGAATCTGTTTTAACAAAATAATTTTTCAAATGACCAATGACGAGGTAAGTAAACTTACGAGTTCCTTTTTTTTGAAGAAGCAGCTGTCAATGATATCAAAAAGCCTGGATTTTAATTTGTCGTGCGGAATTGTTGTATATAAAGTTGAAAAGTCGTAAGTTTTTATGCTGTTGATTTTTGTAAAGTCTTGTGATTTCAAATTGTCCAAAAGTTCTTTAGAATTTTTAAGTATCCACATCTGATTTACACCACTTCTTGAATATATAGTTGTACAGTACTCTTGAAGTTTTTCTTTCACTACTGTCAATATTTTAGTGAGAAGTAACGAAAGATGCTTGGTTGAACATTTACTGGAACCTGCAATGTATCTTTGTTTGTAAGGATTCTTATGAAGTTTCGGAATCCAATATATATAAGGTAGTTCAAATTCATTTTGGCTCTGTGGAATATTAAAAGTATTCAAAACTGACAGGTGATTTTGAAGAATTTCTTCCTTAGAAAGAGTAGTATATGTATAAGTAGGATTACCACTTGTAGAATTAAATCCAAGTTCTTCTAAAATGCAATTTATATAATGAGCCTTACAAACGAAGACAATGTTGTTACCTGCTTTGTCGGCAGGAACCAGTACGTACTGATCGTGTAATCTATCTAATTCTTTTTTCACTTCTGGTTTATTGAACACAGAAGGATAGATGGTTTTCATTTTGCCCCTCAATCTTTTAATACGTGACTTTAACATGGATCTGATACATTTAATCCATTCTGACAAGGTGTCAATGTCTTCTTTTTCATATCTAGCCCATCGTCTGGCGTAATTTTCAACAGAATCCATAATATTTATGAAATTCCGACGCCAGTTGAAGGATCGGGGTTCCCTATATTTAGGACCTTTTAAAATAAGTGATCTAAGGTCCTCATTACGAACTATATTTACGTCACCTGTAATAACGTGTCCAGCAGGACTATAGTTATAGGGCGAAGAAGAACATGAACACGAAAGGGGATTATTTTTCAGATAGTCGATATCCAGGCCATGTAAAGTATTTTTGTAATTGAAAAGTTTGGAAGCAATGGTCGATGTATATTTGTAGGAAATACAAGGCGTAGTCTTTAACTTGAAATATGGTGGAATAGAAGACTGGACCCTTTTGTGATTAAGAATATTACTAATATTTACCGCGTCAATTCCTTTATTGGCATATTGAAGTTTAAGGAAAAGACGGATTGTTTTAGCTGCATTTTCTTCCGTGAAACGTGCGGGTTTAAAAAGCCTATGATGTGCAATATCCATAATCACAGAGCCGAGCCTATATTCAGGTGTCGAGGAATCTAAATTTGGATGTTCCTTGGTCTTTTCAAGAAGACTATTTAAAAGTTTCAAAGGGACAGAGTAAAGTTTGGTTCGAATATGATGTAGACCTAACTGTTGATTTACATAAGGTAGTAATGAATCAAAAGAGACGTCGTGTATTGCAGGTTTATTGTACGAACGATGTCCATGACTACGCTTACGTCTCTGAGTGTTGTTAAAAAGTCCCATCACATTTACATTATTACACTGTGGGCTTGTGAGATTTCCAACACTATCGACATTGTCATTACATCCATAGGGAAAGGCTGTCCCTAGTTTCCTAATCCAAAGTTCTTCACGTTGTCTACGGAAAGGTGTACTCAAAGATGGACTATTTGTGTGGTGATAAATCTTTTCCAGAATTCTAACTTTCATTGATAAAATAGAATGATCAGGTGAATTAAAATGTTTATATAAAAGCTGCTGACCACCATGATTTATTTGAAATCGATGACCTGATATTCTTTTGTTAAGCGATCCCTTGGTTTCACCGACATAAATAAGCCCACACAGATTACATTCTATTCCATAGACAACATTAGAAGATTTGCAGTTCAGATTTTCCCAAGTTTTGGTATAGAAGCTCTGTCCAGTAAGATTACTGGTGAAAGAAGTGTCAGTTATCAAAATGTCACAGGTTTTACAGTTTCGAACAGAACATTTTGAAACCGATGACATTGGATCGCAAAAGGAATCATCCAATATATTTGTAATAGAAACTTTACACTCTTTCAATTTGGTATATGATGCATTGGTTTTATACCAAAACTGGGAATCTGAAGACTGCACATATGACATATGTTTAATATCCTTGAGGATAATCCGAGGGGCACCAAATGAACTCCTTGAGTCTGTGTCCCTTATAGACTCAAGGGAGTGACGCCTTTTTATACTGGGCGACGCGCCTGCCAGTATCATTTCGTTATTATTTGTACTCATGCATGAATAAGTACCGAACGACAAGTATCCTCGGGGACAAATTGTCCACCAGCAGAGATACATGTTCGGTGGTTAAAAGAAGGATATGGAAATAATGAACAGTATTCAATCTCAACGTCCATTAAACAAATATACAAAACAAGAGCAGAGCAAACACGGACCTCCGAAGGAACGAAATGAACTGACCATTCTGGTCCAGCAGGTGGACACTGGAATGATTCTCATTAGAGAAATCAGAACCATTACAAACCAAGATATGGCCAAGGACATCTGTGCAGATTCCGTACGGATCGAACCTAGATTGAGACCGATGACCATAGTAAGTGAATCTGTAGTCCCCTAATTTGGTCACAACCACAACCTTTCCGTTGTCTGATGTACAAATATCACCATTTATATTTTCCGTGATATAATATATACCCTGATAGAGTCTTTGTCCTCTACTATTATTCTGAATGCTGAGGAGCTTCCTCCCTTCTTTATTGTATCTAGTGATCCTCTTCTTGTCTTCTCTCCTCATTCCCACCAATGTATGACCATTGATGTGGGAGGAGTAGACAGCTTCTGGTATCCAGCTTCCTGTGCTGATTAGTTTGTTAGGGACTTTTTCACTGTAGACGGCTCTCGTTAGTGTATCTGTGTAAATAAGATGTCCCTCCTTTGTAATGGTATGGTAACCGGGGACATCACGTGTGTTGATCCTTATTCTCTTAGAGATGTTTCCCTCCAAGTCACACTGAATTATATTCCCTCTGTAATCACTGGCCCAAAAGGTATTAGAACTCAGGGAAGATAAATGAGAAATCTCACTTATTGTAGGAAGAATGACTTCTATTGTCATAGTCGAAGAACTGGCAAGTTTCATTGTTTTAATAAAAGTTTCCTCAAAATATTTCTTTTCGATTTCACCGAACTGTTTGGCTATTTCTTCTTCGTTTGATGTACCTGGAGTGAACGTCGGCAGTGTTTCTGATGTGGGTTTAGGCATCCGTACTTCAGCCAATGACATGTTTTTATGGAGTTCAATAAGGTCAGTCATTTTTATTGATGATATTTTATTCTCGTAGTCAGTTATGATTTTCCCGAGATCTTTAATGTAATTATCGGTTTTATTCTGCTGTTTTTCCAGGTCATGTAAAATATACATTTCACTTTTGTCCAAATCTTTATTACTGACATGCAGTATTGCGTCCGCGACTTTCTTTAGTTCGTCGGCCCTTTCTTTCATGCATATCCTCAACGTTAGAATTTCTTGTCTGGCATTTTCTTCTCTTTTACTTATGGAATTACGATGTTTTTCGGCATCAGGAATAACCGTTTCCAAAATATAAGTATGTTTCTTTTGACATTGCTGTAGAATTTTATTATAAACAGTTTCAATGTCATGTTTTTTATGACCAGCGTGTTCTAGGGCAAAGCAAGCAGGGCACACAGGAATATGGCAGTCAACACAAAAGGCATTTAAATCTACATTGATGTGAACCTGACATTTTTCTGAAGGACATTTTCTCTTCCTTGCACGGAAAGAAACTATATGATGCTTTCTGTTGGTCATTTCCTTTAGATGTATTTCTCTGCATATGCTTCAGATTCGACTATATGACAGGTATTGCAGTAAAATTCAGAGTAGTTTTGACACAATTTGTTTTCACATTCGATATAATGCTGGGCAGTATTTGGTGTTTGATCCATACTTTTATCTGAAAAGCAAAGGTATTTTTAATCACATGGCAACATATGACAAGAAAAAAAATGAATTAAATTACAACATTAGACTTTCCAAGATAAATTTAGCCTATAAAAATAAAGAAAATTATAAAATGTAAGCATTTTTTTCTTACACTTCCTTACACACGTCAGTCTATCAGGTAATATCTGCAATCTGTATACTTATCCATGGGTAAAGTGTTTATCTACTTCTTGTCATCCATTCAAAGGTTTTAAATGTCTGTTTTGCATGACGTCTTTGCATATTATTTATTATGAAATATTGAGTATTATGTAAAAGGTGAACAAACAAAATAAATGATCTTACTAATCCAGTCAACAAAACGATTCATGAACAGGGTAAAGCACGGACCCCAGGTGTGATAAGATGCCTAGGGGGAGAAAACGTTCCCTGTTTACAGGTAACACCCACCTGTAGCCAGTTTTACTAAAGGTCGTAAGTCAATACGTAGACGTACGCGTAGACGTAGCCGTAACTTACGCCGATTTTGCGTCGCCGATTTTGCGTTTTACTAAATGTCGTATCTTACGATTTGACGTAGATTTACGTGGAAATCTACGTGTGCCCTATAGCAGTCGTAGAAAAACACGTAGCCTTATAAATATTACTATAACTTTATAAATATGACTGATACTTTAATCTGAATGTATCTTTGGGGGATAAAAGTCATTAATTTTTTCATTAATACGATGCTCATGTCACAATTTTTATTTCCCGTAATTTCTTTTGGAGTTTATCGAATAATAATAACATTTCAACTTGTGCAATATAATACCCTAATGGACATACTCGACATTTTACGTAAAGATGAACTCTGCAATAAATTTTGAAGTCTAGAGTATCTATAAAACGATTTGTTGTTTCAAAATCTTACAGGAACAAGTGAGGGGGAGGGAGGGGGTTACAGAATCAGTTATTAAATTTATATACTGTATCATGTATTAAAAAAAAAAAAAAAAAAAAAAAAAAAAAACGTAAAAACGGGGATCCCATGTTTAATTCGTATTACGTTGTCACGTGAAATTTTAAGAAAATATAAAATTGAAAAAACCCAGCAAAACTCGATTTCAATCGCTTATAAAATTTAAGCACTTGCAATTTATTTTACTATCATGTTACACCTATAAATATGAAGCCTGCATGTACAAATACATTCACGGAAGAAAACTTTAAAAAATATATTGCAACATTTTATTTGTCACGTAAAAATGACAGAGTTTCTTAACAAAGGCATTTAATTAATTAAAAGATTATCTTTTAAAAAAGATAGGTGATCTAGTGCCGTAGCAATTTTTAAACACAGAAAGGAGGATCCGTGATCAAGCGATTTATTTTGCTGAATTCTTTAATTTTTATCGAGGCTGGGGAGTGATAAAGTTATAATTGTTTTGTGAAGTGTATTTTATAGACACATAGGTAAAGAAACGAGGGGGGGGAGGGTATGTGTTGTGTTGACATATTGGAGTTTTGGCGCAACGGAACATTTATGACCTTTACTGAAGAGGGGGAGACTCTATATAATAAGGAGAAGATGCCAATTGAGGCATTGTATTAGCTGGATTAAGAATAGACTTTCTTGGCAATGTAGCAAAGAAAATCAGGAGAGTTAAAAGGAAACTAGACACTAGCTCAAAGTGTATGTTGTATAAAGAAATCCAGAGTTCCGAATGTGAAGATGCGAAGTAGCTTGCATGGTCCTTTGGGTCATCTTTGTCAAGAAATGTTAGGTTAAAAACCATACACATCATGAATTTTTTTAATATGAATAATGGATTTATTCGTAATTTTCAGTGTAAATTCTTCTTTCTGGGATATGTAAGATTGGCTGAATTGACCAATCAGAAATTAGAGTCTGTCTTTGGTGTAAGACGTAAAAAAAACCCCTCCCTTGTCTTTGTTTAGGACAATCAGATAACGACCCGGGCTTTTCCATCAGAGAAAAACCCGTAAAATTTAAAGTATTACAAATATGTAGTTATCTTTAAAGTGTAAGCTACACAATAAACATAGTTATTTAATGCTACAACATGATACAACATGAAATTGTTATCGTACGGTCTATCTATAGAAGTTTTCCCAGAATGCACGACCGTGAAGCCGAGCATGCGTATTCAAGGAGTTTGGACTAACGTAGTTGCTAGCGCTCGAGAGCGCTAGCAAAAATCGCACACTGTAAAGGCCTATCTTTTTTCCCGGAGTCATATGACGTCATGAAGAATTTACGCAATGTATATAGAAAATTACGTCATAATTTGGAAATGCAAAAAAGAATGCGCCTCGATCTTGAAAAGATTTTTTTTATAATATGCAGACATGTTACATAATACAATGTATACTCTTATCAGTACTTTGTTATTCATTGTACGTAAAGAACAAATTTCTAAAATAAAAAAAAATAATTCACGGATCATGTGCTAATTTCTGTGACATATAATAGCAAATCACATGGCCTTCTTGTACATTGATAAAATAATAAAAAAAAAAAACTAGATATATGTATGTGAGAGAGAGAGGGAGAGAGAGAGAATAATAACAATCTATGAGATTCGATGGTAAGTTTGTTGTTTTTCTGTTTTCAAATTTTTACAGAAAAAAAATTAGAGAAAGTTCCAGCAAACCAATACTGTATATTGTAATTAAGAAAAATATGATAATTAATTAACAGTATGCTTTTTCTATCGTGAACAATACTTGGACTTTTAATCTCTAAAGACTTATAATGCACGACTAACTAAAATATTTTCAGCTATTTATTGAGATATATAAAGAGGAAAGTTTTTTTTTTTCTTTAATTTCAGAGTTTTATTTTTCAATGCATGTTTTAAATTTGGCAGTCACGTGTAGCGCGCAGATACATGTACTGTAAAAACTTTTCAATATGCCTATAAACTGTCTCGTAATCGTATGCAAACAGCCTGGTAAAAGGTAAGTTTTAAAAAAATATATGCAATTATTTGGTTCATAACTGTTGATTGGCTTCTAAATGTTTAATATCTTTCTCCCATTTAAAGATTATATTTCTAAATTAGATGGATAATTAAGAATCGCAACTGTCATTTATTCTGATTTTTTTTTAGAAATAAAGAATAAATGCTTATTTATTTGATAGCAAATTAATTGAAATCATTTAAAAAAAAAAACCTCGAATTTTTTGTCGGCAAAATTAATTTGAAAATCAAGAAACCCCATCATATTTCTATTATTTCTTTTACTAATAATTATTTTAATAGATTAATTATGCTGTCTATTCATTTCAGTTAATATTTCTTCTTGATTCATCTGAATAAATGTAGCTGATACGCATGCGTAGCTTCCGTTACTAGGTTAGATTTTCTACCTTTTACTCATAGGCGTCGGAACCGGGGGGGGGGGGGGGCTAGGGGGGGCTTAGCCCCACCACTTTTTTTTCCAGATATATACTTAGTATAGGCATATCTTATCTTATCTTATCTTATCTTATAGGCATTGAACATATCTTCGTAGATTTAGCCCCCCCCCCCCTCCACTTTCCACAGATACATGTATGTCTTAGTATAGGTTAAAAATGGGGAAAGTGGTGGTCTTTGGAATAAAATTTTGGTACTGAAGTTCGAACCTAACCCCCCCCCCCCCCCCCCCCCCCCACGAAATAGGATTTTCGTGTTTGGGAAATGGACATTTTTTTTTTTTTTTTTTTTTTTTTTGCTTGTCAGGTTTTTTTTGAAGGTACAAATTTTTTTTTTTTACACTTAGCCCCCCCCCCCACTTTCAATTTGCTTCCGACGCCAATGTTACTGAAGAGTTCCTGTCGTAAGTTACGAGAATCTTTGCGTGTAGGGCTACGTTTACGGGCGCAGATACGACCTTTAGTAAAACGCTATCTACGCACACGTAAATTCAGTCGTAAAGTCTAAGTTTACGTCTACGTCTACGGCAAAATGTACGACCTTTAGTAAAACTGCGTACTGGATCCTTGTGTAGATCAGGTGTATTCTATGAACACATTTGGTATAAATGCAATGATCAACGAATGGTATGAAATAAGTCCGACCAATATACGACCAACAATATGTTATATACTAGTATATGTACAAGATCATGATAACAACCGTTTCAGTAGAATTTGCGAGAACTGAGTATTTCAACAACCAGGCTCCAGGTAGGGCCGTACAATTTAGACGAGTTCACATTTTTAAGCTCAGTCTCATTTTACCACTAAATTATTTCCCTTGGTAATTCATTAATTCATTCATGGTAAAACATTACCAATTACATGTAATTATCACCATTACTGTCAATTCTAATAAAACGTTTGAACAAATTCCAGCATAGTACTAGTCGAGTTCTAATACTATCAAATTAATATTCTGATACCAACTCATACTAAAACAAAAATTGACTTTTCTTTTTTTTTTTTGTCATTCCTTTACAATAAAGAATGTTTTGCGGGAGACCGTTATTTCCAAGATTGATAACAGTCTATCAATATGAAAATAAATATCACTTTCTTGAACTTATGAATGGGCTGTCGAATTTCTGTATGGATTGTTTTAGCTCCCCTGAGCTGAAAGCTCGAGTAAACTTTTCTGATCACCGTTGTCCGTCCCTCCGTCTGTGTGTCTGTGTCCGTCCGTCTGTAAACTTTTCAAATTTTCAACTTCTTCTCAAGAACCACTGGGTCGATTTTAATCAAACTTTATACAAAGCACCCTTGAGCAAAGGGGAATTAAGGTATTCAATGTATAACAATCATATTTTGTACCTTAATAAATGAACGGTCACATATTATTAATCATAGTAGCATTTTGAAGATGTTTTCAAACAAAAATACTCCAAACAAAAATACTCCACCAAAGGAATTTACAAAATTTTGATTATTGTCCAATTAATTTCACCTTGAATTTTACATTGAAGTCTATGGGCAAAGCATATTTTATAAGATATTGTAGAAAGAAATTTGAATTTTAAACAAATCCCTTGGTGAAAATATACATAAACTCCCTCTTTATTAAACCATGAAATAGACTGCATTATTTATCGCAAAAATTTTGAGAAATCAAAAATTTTCTTCTTTTCATCAAGGGCAGATGACTATTCAAAAACTTTTAATATGCAAAATGACCAAGGGTCTCGTTGCATGTTATTAGTCTTGTGAATTTGGTTCATTTCACTTTTATCGCTACCTAGCTATTTGTTTTTAAATAGTTTAAAATTATTTACAATCGTTTAAAATTCCTTCATTATACATATCTAGAATACATTAAAATTGTTAACAAGAAGGGCCAAGTCCCCGTCCAATTGGAGATAATCGAGAAAAGACAAAAATAGGATGGGTTCATTACAAAATCTTCTTCTAAAGAACCACAGAGCCAGACAAGGTGAAATGTATAATTATAGAAGCATCCTGGGGTAGTATAGATTCTAAATTGTTCAAATCAAAGCCCAAAGGTTTTGTGGGGCCACAATAGGGAATCCAAGTTTTACATAGAAATATATAGAAAAAAAACCCTTTAAAAATCATCTACTCAAGAACCAATGCAATGAGCTAGTAAAGCTGACACTTATGTGGAAGTATCCTGGGATAGTGTAGATTTTAAATTGTCCAATTCATAACCCCAGCTGGTGATAGGGCGGGGCCACAATAGGTATTGCAAAAGGGGAACTACTGTTACTGAGGTGAATGATGTGGCCCACGTGCCTCTTGATTTTGGATTTATTTTACACGTCTTTTCTACTTATATATATATACAAGTACAATGTTATCACAATTGTTTTTATTTTCTACAGTAACGCCTAATGTGACTCAAAAGTGAACTTTTTCAGAGAGAGATTTAAACATTTAGCCTAGGCTTCATCCTTATTAGAGATGGACGAGCTGTGTATTTGATCCTATGAGTTATATATGTTTTTTTGAATAAATAATCAATTATGTTATTTTATCTCATCTTAGCTGAAAGCTCTATTGATCTTTTCTGATCACCTTTCTGTCGTGCGTCCTAAGCTAGGTATTGCAGATTCTACCTTTTTCAAATCATGACCCCGAGTGGCAGGTTGGAACCACAGTAGGGAATCCAACTCTTACATTGAGAAATATAAGAAATCTTCTAGATTCTAAAGTGTTTAAATAATAGCCTTTGGGAGTAGGACAGGGGCTAGCTTTAGAATAATGGCTTTCTGCTTTAGAAAATTTGGATAGATATAAGCAGAGATCTGTCCAAATCTTCTCAAGCAGAGAGCTGCAGTTCTAAAGCTAAATAGGTATAACAATGGGGAAATTACGTTAAACAAAACAGGAGGGCCAAAGTTAAATATATAGGTGAGCGTTTTGGCCCATGGCGCTCTTGTGTTTGTACAAAGGGTTAGAAAAAGTGGTTTAAAATGTAAAAATATATTGAGAAAAAAAAAAAAACTGTGTGTCGCTATACTAGAAGAATAGACAGCAACACTCGATGGGAGTTCTTTTTTCCCAGTTTACCTTTAGAATTAAATGAATATGGTTTAATCACTAAAAATACGAAATGTTGCCTATACAATCTTATTTTATTTGAAAAATAAAATGTTTCGTCCTAAAGCAAATTTCTCAATAAAATTTACTCTTTAACTTGAATTGCATTTTTCTCTTTTTGGATGATCTTTTATTATTATTTTTTAATTTTTTTATATTAATCATGTAAGTGATTACAAGTAAGATTATATCAGATGAACCACAAAATCAGTGAAAGGCCGTCACAAGAAGTTAAAGCCATTAACGATTAATTCAAATTTCATCATTGTTTGCTACTTCGTTTTAATTAACTCTATAAACTTGATTGCCGACAGCTTTACGACTGACCACAAAATCTGGCATGTAGACTTTCTGTTGAATGATAAACAGTTACTCAAAGGACCTTTAATTCAACAAATCTAAACTGTTGCGGTGGTGCAAGTGCAGAGCAAACAGGTATTTCAAAGGCATATTTCTGCATCCAAGGAGATGGAAATTCTCGTTGTAAGAAAAATCAATTAAGAAAGAAAAAAATAAAACTTTTTTAAAAGATGTATCGATTGTAAACTTCCTACACCGCCTAGAGAAATGTCGATCACGGCGGCTGTGTCAAATCTTGATTTCATTTCGTCAACAAAATTCTTATAAATCTTAATGACTTCCTGTGTTCTGTAGTGACGGCGGGTTAATTTTAGGTCTGAGCGTTGGTGGGTCGGCTCGGTTTCCTCCCTTCATTCACAACTACTTCATTTTGTGTCAAGTTTTGAAGAGAATCTAAATATTTCCGTTCTTGTAAAGCTCACCTATATATACTTGAATTATGAGTATGTTTTGTAGTAAATGTCAGAAATTGGATTCAATTATAAACGAAGTGTTTTCAATAATACGTAACTAATAGCGGACGACAGTGCGGCCTTATCATGCTGGTGGAAGGGACATTTTAATTGGGTTTTTTGTTTCAAACCGGAGATAATCTGTAGTCTGAACGCAGGCAGTGAGCATCACGATGCCGGAATGATAAAACAATTGAATGTCATCTAAAAAGGGAATTCACAAAAACCGTTTCGATTTGTTCGGGATATCCTCATCATATCATGAAGACCGTCCGCCTCATCTTTACTGTGATATTATTTATTAAGGGTGAGTATATATCAAATATTCCTTGCTTTGATGTGCCTCTTCTTACCTGTTTATTCATTTTTTGTCTCCCAGTCCAGGCTGTGCATGTATTATTTGCATTGTTTCGGTTTTAAGCAATAAATCTAGGTAATGTTATTTGCATACTGATAAAACACACTTTTTTCCATTTTATCAATTGTCGTCTGCTAAAACATCATGTGTAGAATTGGCCGGGTTTAAAAGCGGCTGAAAAAATTAAGTGATTAAAAAGGATATGAATTGAGAATAAAATCTTATTTTGTTCATATATGGATTACATGACATGTGTATTGCAGTAATTTCTGTTCTGGTTTTAAGTAGTCCTAAGGAACAAGGGTTGTGTATTCAGATGCCCATTAAACCACAAAAGGGAGAGCAGGATTAAGTTCACCTCTCAGAACAGTTTCAATTAATTATTTCCTACAAGGGGAGATTGATCTTAGGGCCTCTTGTCAAAGGTAGTTATCGTCAACTATCATCGTAACAATCATCTCTGATTTCATCTCAGTTATGGCTTACCCTATACTTCTTTCTTAAAGTATTGTTTATTATTTGCTTAACATGCTAAGACATTTATTTACACGTTTTGGATTCAGCAATTTTCTTCAATGCGAAAAGACGCGTATATTTTTTAGACAAATTAAAAAGTTTAAAACTGTGATATAATTTAATAGTAAAAGAGAGGGGCATAAATAAAGGAAGAAATGATAAAGAAAATCGTAACTTGGTTTTGAATCTCAACTCTTGTTCCTTTTCAGTATGAAAGAGATTAAATACAAACTAGTTTTGGTAATTAAAAAGAATACAAAAACTCGCGAAGTTAAAGTTAGCAAGTGTATAGTTCAATAAGATTGTTTCTGGAAAAAAGTTACTTATATCACTCTAGATTTAAGTGTGAATACTTCACCTAAGTCAGGGAAAGAGTGAATTATAGGACACCTCTTTGACGAAAAGCAAACGAATTATTCAGTACGTGTCAATTACATTGTAATTCAAGTGTTATAGAGAACAGCACACTGGGGTGATTAAAGATATTGAAGGAAATTGATGTATATTTTTTATAGTAACCCTTCTTGAAATGACTTATTTTTAGTGGCTGTTCTCTTTTTCATTCATTTTTTTCTGGCATCAGTTTTAGTTTTCATGCAGGTTAATGTGGGTCTTATTTGACATTGTTATTTTTAAGCAAAAAATGCATGCCCTTACCGAATCGTTTATTTTAAAATGTTTTATTCATGACTTATCTCTAAATACTTTCAGTTGTACCACTTTCAACAATGCACTTATGCGATTGTTTCATATAGTTTATTTACTGTTTTTGGATTTCCCAGTATTACAAATAATTTACCTTTCACGTGCCTACGCAGGTTGTAACTCCCAAATTATTTAACTAACATTCATTTTATTTTAAAGTTTAATGGTATCTGCAGATGTTTTTTATGTATGTTGATGGAGGAACTGACAGATTTGTATTTAAATATACAGGTACCGGGAGCAGCTCCGATGTCGACCCAGGAGTCCGATCTCCCAAACATAGCGGTAATTCCTGTCATTTGTTTGTTTCATTTCATTCCTGTCACATACTGATTAACACATGCGTCACAACAAAGCGTGAATAAGTGAAACTGTGGGAAAACCTGGTAACAAATTTGTATAAATTCCCGAAAGTTTCATGTTTTTATCTGTAAAAAAAATAAATAGATAAAGCATGAAGACCAAATTAAAAACGTTGATATGATGTTGAAAATTATCTTCCATTATATGCCTCAGGAACACCACCCAGTTCTCCATTAGTTATGTGGATCAAAGTATATAACAAATTTATTAACATGTTTTATTAGTAATTTAATAAAATGTTAACCTCCGAACTTAATTAAATCTTTGATTTGACAAAGCAGTCCGTAAATGACTACAATGAGCTTACTAATTGTCCTTGTACAGATCTAGACGTGTGTAACGATAAAGTCCACACGGTTCTAGACGAGAACTGGCGAGAAATTGGCAGCAAGCACTCCAGTCACTGTGACCAAAACTTGGGAGAGGGATGGTTTAGGTTCATTATCAATGGAAAACCTGCCCAGCTTCCAACACTATGTATAAAGGTATTGGAAATTCTGAAAACCTAGGCATGCAAATGCATAATGTTTTTTTTTTTAATGTGGAAAAGAGGGCATAAATAATATTAGCTTCATATAATAGTATGTGAATGAGTGACATGACTTAAATTTGGTTGCTTGCGAAACTACCCAAGAAGATAAAAAATATGAATTTACGGTAAGGCACACTATTTCGTTCTCCATGCGCAAGTAGAATTAAACATCCAAAAATCAAATTTATATTTCCCCTCTGAAAAGAAAAGTACAAAATCAAAAGAACAGGAATTACATTTTACCCGGATATAATTTTTACTCTCTGAAGTATTCGTTCAAAATTGGTTAAAATGATATGAAAAAATAAACATAAAAAAATAAACACTGTAAAAGTTAAATTGTCACTGGAAGTTAGACACTCCTTCCTTAGAAAATAGAAGCCATAATGGCGGCCACTTATCAGTCTACTCGGGCCGCGCAGTCACTTCCGGGCCTGTGTAAACAGAGTGTCTCAGCAGCTTCCTCTTTCAATTGTCTTAATACTCAATTCCAAATTAAAGGAATCCGTTCTTTTCAATTAGTATGTTTTGTTTACTTGTCAATAATCCTTAGTGAAGGTCTAACGAGAGCTGCAGTTAATGATCCAAAGCCCTCCCAATATAATATTCGCTACATCAGAAGATATAGTCCATTTCGAATTATTCTTGGTCTGTTGCAAAAATGAATCTTTTTTCATTCAGTACTACGTGTCAATGTTTATAATATCCATAATCACTGTCAAGTAGAGGAAGTTTCCTTTGAATATTCGGACATTTTCCCAAAAATAAACTACTTTTCCAATTTGATGTTACATTCAAATCTTTAATTTAAAATTCTTCTGGATATGAATAAAAAAGGTTGCTTTAAAAAGTAAGGTGGACTACTGCATAACTCTTGTAGTTTTAATCATAAAAGCCATACTTTTGACTTACCCTTATAAAAAAATTATAAGCATGACCTGCGTTAGCCATCTTATCTACATCTTCACACGTTTTCATTTAGAATAAAGCGTGTGGGACAGTTGTTCCCCTCCGACTAGACCTCCACGATCAACCACTTCCGGCAGTGAACCACTCTGTCCGTGTGTCTGTCTGTGGCTCCTATACCATCCTCGGGAAATGGGACTGCTGCGTTCTACGACAGCCGGCGGTCGTCCACAATTGTGGCGCGTTTTATGTGTACAGGCTGCGCCCACCTGACAGGTGTGATGTCGGATACTGTATAGTCAGTAAGTGGTCTTGTTTCATAAGTATGCTTAAAATCATCATAATTAGATGATTCATTTTGAAAAGAGAAACAAATAATCATTAAGGCTATACTGAGTATATAAATTGATCAGGGATCATTTATTATTTTGTGCTGATAAATATAAATATATTTATGTGACGTTGAAAACGTTTTTGTGCCATTTAGCGACATTGAAGTTTTTGTTTTTTTTTTTTTTTGTTTTTTTTTTTTAAATAAGCTGATATTTACTAAGAAAACAACGAATGTTTATTAACAATTTATGACATGCTTCTATTCTATTCAATTCTTATCATTCATGAAATGATCTGACAGTAACAAATTCATTAAGTTCTTAATATTTTCTTCTCATATTATTTAGCATGTCAACTTTCTAAAATATATATACTGACCACTTATCAATGAATTCATGTCATCCACTAATACATGTATACACTAATGTAGAGTAAAATAATGAAAAACTATGGTTTGTTTATAATTAGGGTGGCCATTACAAATGTCGTTAAGAGAACTAAATTAACCATATTCGTATTTCTAATCGTTCATAGGTGAAGAGAATCAGATGAAGATGCATGCCTTTACAGCGAAAACAGGAGAGCCCTCTTATGAATTACCGAATCCTACCTATCAAGCATCTACCACAACAGCGAGTTATATACCATCTACAACAAAAGGTACGCCATCTATAAGTAACTAATCAGCATCTACCGTCTATAACTCCGACTATCAAGTACTGTGGAATCATCACTGGGTGCGTTCACAGTTCTGCCGTTGGTAGACAAAAGTTGCCGTTGGTAAAATTAATTACCATTGGCATGCCACTGGTACCAATGTTTTTTGCCAATGGTGCAGACAGTCTAGAGTGTGGTTAGTGTTGGTAAATGACGTCACAGCTAGTTATCGACATGGCAACAAGCTCTGGGATCCCGGATTTACAATGATATAAACGATTTTTCCTCTAATCCTTTTTAACAAATCATGGCAAAATCACATAAAAATCATATCAAACACTTATATTCATGATTTTGAAGTATGATTTAGACATGATCCATTAAATGGATTATATAAAACTCATAGATATGGCAACTAAAGAAGTGTGATCCTAATGTGGTTTGTTTGTCGGATATGAGTCTGCTATGATTTTCTTGCGATTCTGGCATGTGCCAATAACTTAGAAGACAAAGAAATCTATAATTCAGTATTACCAATGTCTCCATTGGACTCCCATTGGTAACATTGGTAAAATTGTTACATTTGTATGCCAATACCCGTTCAGGGTTTATTGGTACAGTTGGTACCATTGTCAAATTATTGTACCAATGGTATATTGAAAGTTGGTACTAATGGTAGAACTGTGAACGCACCCACTGTTCGTGAAGGACCGATTTTCGTGGCTTTCGTTGTTAACTCTGACCAAGGAATATACATCCCCACGATGCGATACGAGGGGTGATCAATAAGTTTGCGAACTATCTCTATATCTACGAAACCACAATTCAGATTAGAAAAAAAAAATTGGTACACACATAGACATACACAAGTTCTATAAATAGCATATGCTGAATAAAGTTTTGCTCCTTGTTTGTGACGTCACAATGTGAAAATGATGTCACTGTGTAGGTCACTTGTGACGAAAAATGGCTGTCCCAGTCGTACTCGTTCAACAAAGGACTGTACTTTTCTTTGTATATATCTTAAAAATCCCTTTGCAATAGCATATAATAATTTGTACACAGTTTATTAAGACAAATGACTTTCTATTAATTCAATTAATGATTGGACTGATCGTTTTAGTGAAGGAAGGCAGATGGTAAAAAATGATACTTGTTATGTTGCCCAGTGAAAGCAAGTTTGAAAAGAGATGTGTTTTTAATTAAGCAATTCGCTATCAAAGACCTCCAATTTACACTTTGAAAAATAGTTGAATATTTGAACAATAATATAATTATTAAATACCTAAGATATTGTTTACTTTAGATTTTAAACATATTAGATATGATAAAAAGGAGGCATCCATTCTCTATCAACCTTGAATAAACGTCTCTCCCGAGAAAGAAGATTTGGGGTTTAATGGTCGCCATGCTTATTTTTGGAAAGGATATTCTTATCCACCAATACTGTTTCCGAGATTTGACCATTTCTGACAAATGAACTTTTCTCGTTATAAAAATTCACTTACGTGAAAATAAATATATAACTCAGAAAAATGTTCCTGCTTTTGTGACAGAATGCTACGGAAGGGGTCACGCGACCGCCTATATCACGTGATTCGCGCATGATTAGAACGGTGGTTGATGTGCATTAAAATTGGAGAGGGCTAATTTAAAATATAATCAACACTGAAACCAAATATTGTTTCTTTTAAGGAAGTTATTCAATTAGTTCGCGAACTTTTTGATCACCCCTCGTATATGCAGACATTTGTTTTATTATTCATTAAAAGTTAAATTACGAAATAGAACTTGTTATCAAAGAAATTACGTCCCCACAAACCAGAAAACTTTTGGCTACCCACCAACATTCACCCCCACGAATAAAAATGATTCCACAGTATCGACTTGTACACAAATGATCAAGAATTTGTCACAAACGTTAAAAGTAACAGTCTCCAAGTAAGACTTGGAATGTTATAATCTTTGCCAAACGAAAATATTTATAATCATCGTCTTTCATAAAAAAAATATTTTGAAAATCATTAATAGCAGATGAAAAATTTTCCATGAGAGACAGGGTAGAAAATGCATAAATGCACCAACAAAGAGATCATAATTGACCTTTTTTACGTACTGAGTTTAACTTTTACCTACTTTTTAATGTTTTAGTTAATTATTTTAGAAACGTCCTTTATAGAATTGCAATGACACTCTCTGGTATTACTGGAATTTTTTTTGCATAAATATAACATGTATAAGGAGAGAACAATGTTCATTTTAGATAACAGATGTTCATCAAATGAACGACTGTGTCCAAATGGTTGTGTCCCTTTATCCCAAAGCTGTCCAATGACGTTGGATTGTGAGTTTAATTCCATACACTTCTTTTTGTCAATCTTTTAGTTAAACTATTCTCAGACCTTTACATTTTCAACCTTCTGTTAAATATTAAGTAATACTATATACACACTTAAATGTGCTCTGCTCCTGATCCGAATAGTTTTTATTTTGAACTTTGAGCTTGAATACTGATCGTTTTCACCCTATTTCATAAATCATGATACTGTTTTATATTATTACAAATCATGATATTGTCTTATGTTATTTCAGTGAGCTCTCTGAGAAGACGAGTCGTTCATACCTTTGATACAGTACGGCAAACTCACTACTTCACTCACAAAACAACTACCAGAAAAACCCCAACATCAATGATAAACTCTGAAAGCAGTTCAGAACAGGCAGTAACTACATATCAAAGCCAAAGCTCTCCCGACAGAACAACATCTGCTGCAGATATCAACAACAGAGGTGTGTTTACCACGGTGATAACGGCCATGATGACAAAAGATGAAAATACAGCAAATATTAAAGACACTGATCAAACAACCATAAATAGCAGATCTTCTACATCACATACCACTGTAACTACGTCAGGGAATGCCAATATGTCCACATCGTCTGTTCATGTGTTTAATTCACAAAGCAAGTCAGTTTTGTCAACACTTTCTCCGCCTAAAATGACTAAGTCTGATTCACAGGACATAAACTCTAAAACAACACATAAAAGTGGATTCCATGAAAATCAGAATGAACAACCTGTTCCTGATGAATCATATTGTGGTATTACTCTAGCTTTTGGATTTGAAGCTTCATATGTACAGGTATGCGGACTTTTGTGACCTTTGTAAATTTATCTGAATTTCTAGCAAGGTATCCAACAAAAAATTCCCAATCTTACCAAATTCTAATCTCACAACATGTATAAACTATTCATTAAAGAGAAAAAGAATTTCAATGGTCTTAGCATTTCCATATTATCCCTTTGTTTGATATATTAACAGAAACCTTGTTTGAAAATAAAGTAGAAAACAAAACATAATAAAAAAGATACTTATGATTTTACTTCTCGCAACTATTGCAGAATGTCAACTTCACAGACTTTAGAAGAAAATTACAGGTAATCTTTGCGTCGTTGCTGAATATCTACTATGTTGAAAACTATGGCGTTTATATTGAGGGAATTTTCTCATGGAAAACCAGATATCATAGAGAAACTTTTAAAACCTACACGTCATCTCACGTGCACTTTGGGCGGGGAGTCCGTAACCAATCGAATTACTACATCATAGTATTTGCAGAGGATATATTTAATACTGGTAAGTATAAACTTTTAAAATTTATCAAAAGCAAGATTTATGGCATGATCTGATAAAATCGTCTTAAAATTATACCTGGACAAAAATATTTAGGATTACAACATTATTTCAATGATTCACTTTTGACGAAGAAAAACTACACCTTAACAAAGTGGTGGTTATTACTTAAAGATATGTATGCCGTGTTAAACTGTATTTTTGCACAGCTGAAACCAAACAAAAATTTCTGAAGTATGTTAAGCTATCAAAAATGAAGCATTCTTGCAAATTCGACGAACTATTATTCGGTATTAACAAAGTACTGGTCGGGAAAAGAACACGATATTCTCATGCATATTTATTAAGGACTGACGTTTATGCTGGATCTGTGCATGTGCGCGGGAAAAGCATCGCAAGAATCATCAGGTCGAGGAAACCCCTTTTTTGTGACGTCTGTTCAGTGAGGAACCAAAATGACTGACAAATCGACCAATCAGCTCAATGAATTGCATTTAATGCATTTATAGGTTACTACTAAAATACTACATGTATTTTTCGAAAAGGCTAGTTTTTTTAAATCGCTCTCGGAAAGACGTGATGCATTTTCCTGAGCATTTACACGCTTAAAGCATTATGTACATTATTATCTATTAATCCCATGCTTACATTTGCATACAAATAATGTGTAACAATGATAAAAATCAGAGTTTCCCCCACTCCATTGTACAGGTCCTTTTGTTTACAGTTTCCCCGTGCGCTGTACTGTCAGTGAAAAGACAATTTCACGTGACTATTCCTCGGTAAAAAAAAGCAAACAACTCTGAGGTGTGCTCACGTATTGACAATGTTTACAAGGTGAACAACTTCGAAACATACAGTATGCTACTCAATACACGTTCTAAGATCAATGCACATAAGAATTAATATAGACTATGTGGTAATTTTTAAAAAAAAATTGTGAAACTGAAGTCTTTTTTTTTTTTATAAATGCATCAACCTTAAATTTTTACATGCAGTAATAACTGAGCAACAACTAATTCAACCAGTTACATGGCCGATTTACGAATATCGAGTTTAAAAATTAGAGTCTTATTTACTTGTGGAGACTTTGTGAGCGGTATTTCAAAGTACTTTTTAACGAGAAAAACTGAATTTATTTTTTAATGTGAGCACGGGAATTCTCAATTAGTACCTATTCTTCCTATTTTTCTCAAACACGTTTCAAAAAATTGTTAATTGGCTTTCCAGTCATCATTTGAAATCGCATCCTAAATTTCCCTAACCCACGTATTTGTAGTAAAAACGTAGTAGACCATCATGCTTTTCGGCTCATTCACGAGATTGGACCATTGTTTGCTCTGTGCATGCGAGACCACGTGATCATGAATATTTCAATAAGAGGCGGTTTAATATCCGACTCGGAGAGAAAATAATTTTTACCAAATAATATTTCATAACTTTTAAAAGTAGTGGATCGGAATTGTCTTATTTGCAGAAAGTATATAACTTATATAACTTGGTAAGACACCACATATACTTATTTCTTTAAAAAAAAAAACACTAATACGGCACATATATCTTTAACTAGAATTATTTTATGTTATCTTTTATAAAGTGGTGATTATTAATAAATCAAACATTATTGTATGTTATTTTAGTGGTTGTTATTAATTAACTAGATATTATTGTAATGTATGTTTTTTAGTAGTGTTTGTTAATTAACTAGACATTATTGTGTGTTATTTTAGTGGCGGTTATTAATTAACTAGATATTATTGTAATATATGTTTTTAGTAGTGTTTGTTAATTAACTAGACATTATTGTGTGTTATTTTAGTTCTGTACTTACCAGATCGAGTGATATCAACACTTCTTCAGAACTCCACAGTCGTCCACTACATAGAAGAAGAGGTACAGTGGATAATCATGACTTAAATAATGGCAATACTGCTTAAACCATTGCAAGTCAGCTAAGATCTGAGTCATTACAAATATAAAACCTACCTACACTTGGCATTGATAAGTATATATATATATATAATGAAAATTTCCCTGACTGTAAAAGTGCAGAGCTTGAACATTTATAATCCGCTTACCTGGCATTTCCCCATTCTATACACTAAGGTCTAGTTATAGGTGTGGTTATAGGTCAATATGTTAATGTTTTTATTTTGTATGATTTTTCCACAGCTTAGCGAGTGTATCAGTTGGTAAGAGATCCTTCGATTCCTTAACATCTTTTGACTTATGTAACTAACAGAAAACAAAATACAACTACTTTTTTCTATTGTATCAACATCTTCCTTTTACGTTTCTGATTGATTTTTTGTGCGTTTCTTAACCTGTTTACTTTAATATTGATTTGCTTCATTTTCTTACTTAACATTACATTATATCTGACATTATTTCAAAAATGTGCATTTTCATTGAGTTCAAATTCGTAAGGCATGTATAAAATAACCAGTCTGTTCAAGATTGTTTTGAAAATTACGTTACACTCAGTTTTACGAGTTTTGTCTGTGTTTAAAACACTCCGCCGTACATGAATAAAGAACAAAACTTAAGGATCTACATCCACAAAGTCTAAATATGAGTTTAAAAAGTATTTACTAAAAAATTAAAGTTTTACCATTAAAAAAAAAGAAATTTGAAGATAATACTCAAAATTCCATTTTTAATTTGTAAAATACTGAACTCAGAGTGTAAAGTAACACTTCCTCTTTATGAAATAATTGTTTATTTGATTCAATAATGCAGGAAAATTATACTTGAAACGAACATGAAAAAACATATTAATGTCAAACATTTAATGATATACGAAATAACGACCACAAAAGAGATAGTACTATTATTTATAGGCAGTTTACCTGGTTCCCAATCTAGTCAGTTTTCTGAATAAATATTGCTTAAATCGAAATGATTAAAAGAAATATTATAAAACCCTTCAGGTTTATATAATATTTCTGAAATGGAGAACTTTATAAATGTATCAGGTTTGACGTAAATTTTCAATTTTTACAACTGTAGCCTTTTCAAATAAACAGATTGACGAATTGCTTTACAGATACATCAAAGTGTTTAAACGACTATATTTGTTCTTCACACGAAAATAATCATTTGCTTTCATTTATTAATTAATTAAAATTGAATTTGAAAAAAAAATAAACATAATGTATATTGTTAGGATATTAATGAAATGAATTTTCAATTTTTCCGTATTCTATGTGTGTAAAAAAATCAAATTAAATTTTCTAATTACCAAATTTTTTTTATAATCTTTTCAGATAAAAGAATTCCATGCCACATTTTTGAATAAGACATTGAATAATACGGATGTGACGTCACGAGAGAAACCGTATACACCATTACTGTCTACTAACTTTGGACTATGTATAGCGGTATTTCTGCCCGTTTCTATTTGTGTCGTCTGCTCTCTGATCGGGATACTGAAAATAAACAGCAAGAATCGCTGTATGAACCTCCGAAGGAAGTCAGGACAGTATTACGTTAAGGTATTTTATTTATAGTATATATAATTATTATTTATATTAAGCCCTATAAACTGAAGGTCATGATACAAGAATGACGATTTTTTAGATAAATGTACATAAACGCGGCAACTCGAGAGTGTAGTCTTTAGAAAATATTTTGAACTTAAGTTTGAAGAACAGCATTACATGTAGCTCTGGTTATGGTGCCAATATTTCTTGGTTTCTATATGTATTTAAAACCACTATCGTCTATTAAATCATCATCAATTTTTGCCTTGCTATTTTTATCTTTCTTTACAGTGGGAGAGAGCATTAAAACGAGATGTCTGCAAAGGCATAGGGTATAAAGAAAATACGATGAAAGACAAAGATACTATCAAGGGCGAAAACTCGGTAAAACAGAATTTAATTCCTCCAAAAGACAGAGATACAACGGAGGAAGACGATAACAAGGCGAATATTAAGCGCGGGAAAATATTTGCAGACGACAGCTCGTGGGTCGTTCCCATCAGAGAATTTAACAAACCAAATGTTGTTCAGGGGCTTCAAACAAAGCTTTAAGAATTCGTGTCATTTTTTCTCTCTCTATTCTATAGAATAAGATTTAATGCTACAAACAAAATGTTTGATACATGCATAACTTTTTTGACTTCTTTTGGTTGTATCAAAAAATCTCTGAAATACACAGTTTTTTTTTTTTTTTAAATTATCCTTCCATTTTAAAAGCTCTTCCCATTTGGCAACATCCTCATAAATACTCTAAACAAAAAGAGTAATGCTTTTTCTTTTGCTTTTATTAAATTGCCTCAGATAAGTTTGTAATTTTTTTTTTTATAAATCATCGAAAATAATAAGCTAAAAGGTGAGATTTAAACCAAAAGGTGTTTTTATTATTTGCCTCGAAAGGGAGAATTCAAAGCAGGATATACCGGTATCTATAATGAAATGCATGTATGATATAAGTCCATTGTGAAACACAATGTTTTGCCATATCTTGCCAGTTAACTGAAGGAAAGTTTTGTGTTCATTTTTAAGCTCATGTCAGTTTAAAATTGACATGGATTATTTAAATATGAAAGTTAAAAAACTACTTAAAATTGCATTTTTACGATATCTAGTCAGTGTGCCATAACTAAATGACTTGAAGGGTATAATGTATTCACAAGAAAGCGCAAGTTTATACTTAGCGCAGATTTTCATATACTTACCTAATATCTATGCATAATTTTATATATGGAATTTTTGCCATAACGACATAATTTATAAAACTGAAGGAATTTTTTGACTCCTTACAATGAAACATTTTATGAGTAAAAAAAGAAAGGTCAAGCATGAAGGTTGTGTACTCGTTATTTATTATTCTATCATTATTTATTGATCGTAATGTTTACTTCAGGGTAAATATACGTGTATATTGTAAAAATAAATATTTTTCGGACTGTTGTTTGTTTTATTTTTTTTTTACAAATATTAAAAGAGCAACGAGGCAATATAAAAAAACCATATTGATTTTAGGGTTTTGAATGATATCGCTTAGATTTAATTCTTCTCTTAGATTTAATTCTTCTCACTACCAATCAGTACTAATTAATATTAAAGCAGTACAGTAATTTTTTGTTTGTTATTAAAGTACTATATTTTTAAAGTATGAAACATGTCGAGATAACGAACAGTATTCAAGATCAAAAATCTAAAAAACAATACAAAATAAGAGCAGAGCAAACACGGACCTCTACAACGTCAGAGATGGGATCAGGTGCCATGGAGGAGTGAGCATCCTCCGCCGACCGGTCACACCTGTTGTGTGCTCATTGTCATGATCAGAAAATAACAGAAAAAATCCGACTTCAAATCAGTGTATAAATAATGGAGTAACATGTAAGTATGAAAAAACGCCAGTCAGCATTTCACTGAATAATATCTTGTATTTTCTGACAAGGTCATTGTATCGACCGTAGAACTTACGAAATGATGACTTTAAACGAGACTGCTGACATTCTTGTTTCATTAACTTGTTTGTCAATGATTTACCTCGCTTTAGAAATTGTTCATACGTAGAGCATGCTCCTGCGTATCGAATCAACTGAGATGTATAAACTCCACATGCAGGTGATGAAGATATATTGCTACATAAGTAAGGAAAGTTGACGATAGAAAAGTTAAAGCTCATAACGTTTATCATAGAGCGTGGTTGTTAGATTACCTTAATTATTTTTTTCAAGTAAAGTGTCGAAATATGAAACAGATATGTCAGACTCTGTGATATCTCAAGCTCCCCATGATATATCGTATCTACATAGAATGGGAATTACCATGCACATTGTTAATTGACAGTACGTTGTCGATATATCTAAATGTCGAGTTGAAGGCCTCAGCAAGCATTTTCTTCTTTTTTTCTGAGCCAATTTTAACCAAACTTTTATAAAGCATCCTTGGGTGAAGAAGGGTTTAAATTACTTTTAAAATCTTCTCAATGACCAATGAGCTAGAAAAAGATGAAACTTACGTGTAAACATCCTGGGGAAGTGTAAACTCTAAATTGTTCAAATGAATAACCCAGGGGGTAGGGCGGGGCCACAGTAGGTAATCCAACTTTTACATTAAAGTAAAAGAAACTTTAATTTTTTTCTTATCAAGAACCACTGGGCCAGAAAAGCTGAAACTTACGTGGAAGGATCCAAAGGTAGTGTAAATTCAATTTTTTTCAAATAGTGACAACTGGGGTAAGGGCGGGGCCACAATAAGGAATCCACGTTTTACATAGAAATTTATAGGAATAAACTTTGAAAATCTTTTTTCTCAAGCTCCACTGGGCTAGAAAAGCTGAAACATATATGGAAGCATAGTGTAGATTCTAAATTGTTCAAATCATGACCCCTGCGGGTAGGGCTTGGTCACAATAAGGAATTTATACAATGAAGTATATAGGACTTACAATCTTCTTCTCAAGAATCAATGAGCCAGAAAAGTTTATACTTATATGGAAGCATCCTTGGGTAGTATAAATTCTAAATTTTTAAAATCATGTCCACCAGGGGAAGGGCAAGGTCACAAATGAAGATAGGCATTACAAATTTGTTAAATAAAGGAATGGCCAAAAGTACTCAGATGAGCGATGTGGCCCATGGGCCTCTTGTTTAACATATATGTACAAATGTTACGACACATGATTAGGTCTCAATTTGAAATGTAGGAGTTTTGAATTACAAAATACGTGATATTATCAATAACAGTAAAGCGTATCGTTTTACATTACGTCACAACCTATTTTGTAACAACCGATGATGACAGGTGCGCTCAAGGGAAAAAGTACAAGCCTCCAAACCGCAAGCTCTATGATTCTTGTTTGTGCTTTTTCCCTGCAATAGCCTGCTTCACGATCAACCAAACAACCTGAAGGGCTGCTATCACAATAGGTTGTGGTAATGTGAAGCGGTACACTTCAAATGGAAATGATAACAACTCAATTTTTCTACCCAGTATTTGAAACCTTGTCCAGAGGTATTTAATTCTAAAACGAAGACACCTGTAGATATTGAAGGAGTAAAGGGTGGCTGAGTGTATATTTTTTATAACATTTTTTTATTTGGTAACTGAAGTTTTCAACCGTAATGTTTTTAAATTTTGTACAATGCAAGAAAGCGAATTTAATGTTAACGATTTGTGGGTGGTTGCTGTTAAAAATATATTATATAAACATGTAGATTACTGTTAAAAACGAGGGGAGGGGATATTGGTAAAAATGTGTATCTCAAAGAGTAAAAAATCATAATGTACATAAAAATCAGGAAAGGAAATATTTTTATTCGAGTTTGTCGCAAATGCTCATACATGTATAAATGTATCAAATTGTTCTTTTCACATAAATTTCTCAGCCCTAAAATTATTTTGATCGTTTAAAACGCAGTGCAATCTCTCATCCCAATCTGGTACAGTGGTTAGAGCAGTTGTCTTTCGACGAGACAGTGGATGAGGTCCAGTGTCACAGTTTGTTTTTATAACAGCCTTTTGAAAAAAAAATCATTTAAATTGAGACGCATGCGCCACCAATACCTGGTGCTGCAAAATTTAAAACTTATTTGGCATTAAGGTCCTTTAATTATTGAGGAGTGGTTTTTTGTGCGACAAGGGTCCTCGGTTTATACGGTGTCATCCAGAGGCACAGTCTTTAAGTCCCGCGCGCACTGGGATTCGAATCTGCCACCTAGAGATCATACTCTGCGACTGTAGAGCAGACATTTTAACCACTTCGCCATGCGAGTGACTACCCGTGACACTGTAGTCGATCCTACGAAAAGAGTACCTTACTGCTCAAAGACCGTACTTGCTACACAGAACAATTTTACCCCCTCCACTAGAAAGGGGTCTGAACATGAGTGATAAATTCTCGAAACGACGTTAAACACAAATGCTATAAGTAAATGTATTTTATTATTCTTAGTAGATAAAAACTATATTCTGAAAAGTAATGCTATAATTTTCAAAGTTATTCAACCAAATAAATTCAATTGTTTTGAGGGATAAGTTAATGAGATGGGACCATTCAGCCCATCTACTAGTAATTAGTTGATTCATGGGGAGGTTAATAAATGATCCATTATAGAATCTAAGTTCAACTTGTAAAAGCTATACTCTATCAAGATGAAAGGACTGATTTAATATTTTTTGTAATTTGAAAAAAATCAAAGACGGGTCACTTCACAATCCTTTTGTGATTCAGTCTCTAAAATCAGAAGGCCATTCTTACAGGACACAGGAAGTGACGTAATATATGACACCTCGTCCACCATGTTGAATGCAGGGTTGTCTACCGCTGTTACACTTTTAGCATATGATCTCGGATGCGCCTTTGGACAGGAAGAATTATTCCTCTGGGAGTTCCGTCGCTGGGAATTTCCCCTGTCTTTTATATTTGTATTATCTCCATTTGTAGTACCTTTCCGGAAGCTTGCTTTTAAGCTATTATTTACGTCCGTTGATTTATCGCTGTCTAGGTTTGACCTAATTGTATCTGTGGCAGAGTTGGCCTTTGATGCCTTTGGATGCTTATGTATTATACTTGTTACTTGCCTTCTCAGTTTCTTTGTAGCTATGTGGATTTGTGTTGTTTTATAACTTCTAACTACTGAAATAATACAAGAGCGTAATAAAAATATTGGCACGATGCATAAAATATGAACTTCAATGACGTGAAAATAGATAACATCACTAAATATCACCACGCTGATAATGAGGAATACTCCCAAAAGTACAATACAAGATAACCATCCTATCAATTCAATTCTGTTTATCCAAATCAGGTTCTGGAAGCGATGAAATTCCCGGCTATTAATCGTCAATAAATGTTGATTGTGTTTCACTTTCTCTATGTAAAGTTTAAGAATTATTTCCATTACTATATTGGAAAGTAATCCGACACACCATAGGCAAATAATAGAACACACGTACGCAATGGAAAAAAATTCCCCGTATGCACAACGAGCACTGGTATTATTCAAACCCATTAAGGGAAGAAATCCTAGAACGAAAGATATATTCCATAAAAACACCATCCCTGTAATTATGTTGTTTTTCTTCATATGAAGAATATAATTAAGCGGGTGGGTGAATCGTAGACAGCAATCGGCATGGAGCCACACGAGAGTGAACAAGGAAGCAGTGGTTCCCGTGATCAGGATACTGTCCGGGAGAAAGCAATTCACCTTGGTTGTTTGCAACGAATAAAAAACGAACGCCTTAATTATTGCATAAAGACCAAGCATGGCGTCGGCCCAGCATATACTCCTCATAAACACTAACACTGGGCTCTTGCCGCCTGTCGTAAATTTAGACAATAACAGGAATATTGCATTGGATAAAATAGAAAATATTCCCAATCCTCCCCAAACGAACAAAAGTGGAATGAAACGGTCGACAATCTGTAGAAGTTTCTGTTCCTTTGACCCAGAGTCTGTCAAGTTGGTGTTAAGCGACAGGTTCATCCCGCCGACATCACGACAGGTTCATCCCGCTGACATCACGAGAGGTTTGGTTTGCTTTCCCAAGTTTTCAACGCATGTCCTGTCTGTAAAATAATAAATCTCTTATTAGGATTTCATCAAATGAATTTTAATTTTTTTTTTTTTTTTTTAGAATTTATACATTATGTTTAACATATATGACATTAAAACATTATATCGACACTATAATTTTTCATACTTCACTCCTTATTTTCTTAAAATTAGCTGTAAATCGTCACTTTTAAAACTAAGTCCAACTTATAAGCGACAAAAAGCAGATACACTTGTACACACACCCTGTTTTATGACCCAAATATCGAATTCTTAAATAAATATTTATACAAGTAACATAATCTGCCAATTCGCACATACAGTAATAAAATAATTAATCTTAAAAAAAAAAACAATTTAAAACAAAGGATGAAACAGCAGGTTCCAATTCAAACAAGTGGCCCGTGGGTTTTAATGATCTCCTGAGTAGAATGAATTTTTCAGGCTATATATCCACTTTGAGTCCAGCTGGAACTGGCTAAATATACTTATATATCATAAACTGTTTGATGAGAACTCTGTAATTGTTCTCAAATTTATGCACCTTGTCCCTTGTAAATTGATGAATGAAATAAACACTAAAATTTCTGAATCAATACTTTGCATCCTCCAAACAATATTAAACATCTATTCTTGTATGAAATTTGATCCCAAATCATGTTCTTTCCCAACCCAATTGAATTTTGAGGGTGAAGGGGATACTTGAATCTGCATTACCTGAGGATCTATGCTGGCATATTATGACACAACATACCGGCACATCTCTTCTAAATGAGCATAATTTGATGTTTTTTTCTAATCTACTGTTCTAAAAAATGTAATCTCTTGTAGTAGCCCAATTCCCCTTTGGGGTCATGATCTAAACACAATTGAATCTGGCATTATGTATTACTTGAGGATCCTTCCATATAAATATGACTGTCACTAGTTCTGTTGTCGTTGTTCTTGTTAAGAGGACAACGTAAAGGTTTTTTTTCGATAAACTCTTTATTAAACCTGGATCTCCCAATATGCAATCACCCAGGGGTCTGCTGTTCTTGAAAATCTTAATGTACATTCCCATGAAAATTCTGATCCCTTACTGTAGTCACACACTTCCAAAGGGGGTCATCACTTGAACAAACATGAATCTACAATACCGTACTTACGGGTGCTTCCAATGAGAAAAAAATCTATCTTTGGCTTTGCTTTTCTTGATTTTTAATGATTTTACTAAAGGTGGATTCCTATTTAGAACTTTGATACCTCACTGAGCCTGTGGCATCACCCTGCCCAAGGAGGCATAATTTGAACAAATAAAGGACATGGAGATAACGAACAGCATTCAATATCAAAGTCCATAAAACAATACAAAATAGGAGAAGAGCAAACACGGACCTTTAAAACATCAGAGGTTGGATCAGGTGCCATGGAGGAGTGAGCATCCCCTGTCGACTGCTCACATCCGCCGTGTGCTCCTTGTCACTATCGGGAAAAAACAGAAAACCGTCGTCAATTCAGTGTAAAAATAATAGTCTACATTTTGTAACAATAAGCATGAAAAACGTCAATCATCTTTTGCCTCAATGATAAATTGTATTTGCTGACAAGGTCATTGTATCGAGCATAGAACTTACGAAATGATGACTTTAAGCGAGACTGCTGATATTCTTGTTTCATCAACTTGCTTGTCAATAATTTACCTCATTTTAAAAATTGTTCATACGTAGAGCATGCTCTTGCGTATAATCAACTGAGAAATATAAACTCCGTATGCAGGTGATGAAGGTATATTGCTGCATAAGTAAGGGAAGTTGACGAAGGTAAAGTTAAAGTCATCACGTTGATCATAGAACTTGGTTGTTAGATTACCATTAACGTCTTTTCAAGTAAAATATCCAAGTATAAAACAGATGTGTCAGATTCAAGCTCACCAGGATAAATCGTATGGACATAGGAGTGGAAATGACCATTGTGAATTGACAATATGTCGTCGATATATCTAAATGTCGAGTTAGAGGCCATAGAAAGTGCTTTCTTCTTTTCACGTATAAGCTTTTGCACAAATTCTGCTTCATATGAATACAAAACGAAGTGCAATTTATTTGTACTCATGGGATTTCCAATAGATTGTTGGAAGACCTGGTCTCAAAAAACCACATAGATTTTGTCAATTAGAAACTCGAGCATCATTTTGATGTCAACTTCAGAGTACTTGTGTGTGCAATCAGAATGTTTTTTAACAAAATAATTTTGCAAATGGCCAGTGACCAGGTAAGTGAATTTACGAGTTCCATATTTATTGAAAAAGCAGCTGTCAATGATATCAAAAAGCCTTGATTCAAACTATGTCAGGAAGCTTCCATATATATGTTTCAACTCTTCCTGTCCAGTAGTTCTTGAGAATGTTTAAAATGACCCTGCCCTATTTTTGTCTTTCCTTGATTGTCTCCCATTGGAAGGTACTGCCCTTCATTTAATGAAACTCCCCTACAGCCAAGGATACTTTGCTTGCGGTAAGTTTGATTGTAATTGGTCCAGTAATTCTTGAGAAGACGTTAAAAATGTGAAAAATTTACGCACGACGCACACACATGTAAAGAACATGAGACGTTGGCTTCAGTGAATTCAATATTCTTGAATATTACGCATCATGCCAATTTGTCGTTATCCCTGCTGATAGGGTTACAGAAGTTAATACATATTACTCGGTAGGTCGCCTTTCTTCTCGGCGTCAGGAAGGAAACTGACTTTAAGTCTCTGGTCATCTAAAAGATCAGTGTTTTGATATTTACAATTTATATACATGTGGCATTCCATGTGGGTTGCTTAATGTTGACATGCAAGATTTTTTATGCAGGCATAACTATTTTGAACAACTGTCAAGTCTTCATGCTTCACCAAGGATTTTCATTCACTAACGAGGAATTTCCAAATTGTCCATATTTTATACAGGGTCCTATAAAATGACATTCCAAAGAGAAAAGGAGAATCCAGTTTGGGGGCATGTATTGCTGATGCAATACTCTCAGAATGCATATAGTTTTTATTATAATAAGAGAAAAGAAATTATTCAATAAAAAAATCAATGTTGTAAAATAAGGAAAGAAATATTATTTACCAGATATACCTATCATTTCAACTCGTCCCGTGCACAGGGACATGTGCTATGATGTTGTTTTGTATTTAACTTTTGTCAGTATTTTACTGAATTTGAATTCAATGTCCAGTAAAGATCATGTTGTTGTTAATTTTGCCACCGAGCTTTGTGGCAAAAGTACATGTAATTGAAGCATTTACCGGCTGAATCTATTTATATTCTGTTATGTCAGATCAGATGTTGACCACACGTATGCGTACAGGAATTTTGATTTTTCAGATCAATATCTGAATCAAAATTCTCTGTGGGTTTTTAGAAAGATGTGTACTCCCTGACTATACTGGTCGGTCGACAGAAAAAGAAGGGACAATGTTATGGGATATCCTGTGAAATCACTAATTTTCGTGGGACTTTAATTTCGTGCTTTTCAAGGTATGAAGAGGTATGAGATGACCTACGAATTTATGTCCACCACTAAATGCAATTTTTCACGTATAGTACCACTGCACAATTCTTCAACCACGAAATCAAATCCCCATGAACCAATATATGTGATTTTACAGTATGCCGAGTTTCTTTAATTGGGCCGTTTTAATTTTGTATTTTATTTGTTTTTTGGAGGGGCTGGTGGAGAGGGAGGTGTTGTTCATTAAATAAATATAAAATTGATTATATACAAAATAAAAGTCTTATTTTTAAACATATCAACAAAGAAAAAAATAGATCTTTGCTTCTTGTGCAAGAAAACAAATTCCAGCTTTTAAACATATTTAGATGTACTTATAACTTTGAGAATAAATTAATATTTTATTGTTTTATATAAATTAGTTGAATCTTATTCGTCGAAAAACATATGTTTCAAAAACTATTAGGTTATTCTAAAAAGTATTGGCTGTTGAGAATTTACTCGCGCACTGTTCAGTATTATACAGTGTATTTACTGTATAAAAGATTCAGCATCAAATTATAAATTGAGTGTGTAGCTGAGGATAGCATTGAAAATATTCACCCCTCGGTTAACAATTATGGTTTTCAAGGGGGGGGGATTTTTAATGTTGCTGTCAACTACATGCAGTATTTTTATATAATGATTAATTTCCGTAGTGCAGTTGTTTAAAAAAAAACATGATTCAACACAATAGAATTATATTGAATACTGCACGGAATATACCTCAGAGTTTTATTTTTTACGTCAATGCATTAATAACAGATGGTTGATAAAATTCATTTTTCTGGAATTTTTTAACTTGAAAAGATATTTTGTCAATATTATCAAAACGTAAGCATGCAGAAAAACGTACCTTAGAAAGTAGTAACAGAGTAGGACTCCCACGCCAAACGTGGAGGAGAATTGCACATATTTTACCTGAAATTGGACGAAACAATTACAGCCTGTGTTATATAACACCTTGTCAATGTTTACCAGCCTGACAGGTAAGAAATATACGTATCGTGTGTTTCACGAGGCTTAAATCGATTATAGATTATATATTTAAGCTCCTGCATGTACATGAACTAATTACAACTGTCGTATAAATGCATGGCGGCATATGCAATGCAAAAAAAAAAAACGCTATAAAACATGTATAAAATAATATGCTATAATGAAATAGTTTATGATATATACTGTGATTTCATATTACTATGATTTTATCATCTTGATATGTTTTTTTCTTTTAGATCATGTGCTTCTTTTTATGACGCTATTGCCAAAAAGAAAAGAAACCAAGTGACAATTTAAAAGAAACAAAAAAAAAGACGTGATTGTGAAACACTGATGCCCTGTGTGACAGCTAACGACAAAGATTAAAGATTCTCAGAGGAAGGTAAATCTCTAAGATATAAAGGATTTAATTGTCTCAGTAAATATACTTGTAAAATATGAAAGTCCAAACTTCGACCATTCAAAAGGTATGGCCAGTGATTAAGTTTATTTTTAAATTAAATCAAACTCCAGGATCAAATTGTTGGAAACCAGGGATTCACATGAGTAAACACATGGTCAATATAAAAGCCCTAGAACCAACGTTTCCAAAAGTTATGGGCAATGTCAAAGTTTCAAAAAGTATAAAACTTTAACCTGCTAGAAAAACATTAACTTGGTCATTCATTTGCTGTAATTACAACATCAGAAACATTGGAAGGTACAGTAAAACAAACTATATAGATGGAATCATCCTTCATACTTCTCTGACTACTCTAGGTGTAAAAAAAAAACTGCAGGTCAAAAACTTTAATTTTGGACGCCGACCCCGAAGGTATCACATAAGCTCCCCAACTTCGTTGAGTTGAACTCTTCACTACGCTTTAAGCCGTCAGAAATACAAAGAAGACCTAGTGACGCAAGAAAGAACATCCATATTGTTCATTGGGAAAAATATAATTATTAATATGCGTATTTATTTTGGGTTTGTGCAGTACAGAGTTGTTATAGTATAGACAGGTTTTCTCTACTGTATTATTGACGGCTATAAGTTTTGTTTTGCTTTGTGCAGAACATTGTTGTTATTGAAAGGGACAGGTTTTTTCTCGTTGATTATCGGCGGTTAATTCTTCATCCGAACACTGTATCATCTTACCGTCATAATGGTATGTAAGAGATTAAAATGTTACAATACATCAGAGGGATGGGGACGCACATCAATAATTCATTCACCAAGGTTTTAATACTGATCACCAGCGCGATATGATCAAATCAATCAGAAACCGTGAACGTATGATATCGGACGCTCATTTAAACTTTATCTTTTTAGTTTAGTCAGACTGAAATTTGTTTTTAATGATTTAATTTTATATCTAAGCAGCAACCATGCATATCAGTATATATACTGAGGAAGGATAAAGTTTTATTTTGAGGATTTTCTTTAGGTCAAAACATGTTTCAGGTCATTATTCAAAAGTTTGTTCCCATCTGACCTTCACTGTAAAATTTGGCATTCCCATTTCGCCATAGTAAGCTCTCAGGTGAATTAAGGTAATGAAAATTTAATATATTAATTGTAGCTTAAAGTATTTAAAAAAAAATACTTGTATTACGTGTATTATTTCATTCAAGGTATTCATAAATTCCCATCAACTGTTAAATTCAATCTAAAAAAATTGTCACATAGATTTTTATATCAACCTAGTAATAAAATTTACAAATACTAAAATTCCCATTTCGCCCAAGTACTTTTTTTTTTTTTTAGCTATTTCTTACCTGTATTTCACTGTTAAGACGAAATGGGAACACACCTATTCAAATATCTAAATTAGTAAGAATATGTAAATATTGATTTTGATAGGTTGTATGCACATAATATAAATAGATTCTTGATGGGATTTTTTAAATTTAAATCAACAGGAATGAATTTTAAACCTTTGTTTCAAATAAAGTCTAAGCTGCGATGATCATTACAGTCATCTCTGTCAAAACTAATCAAGATAAATTATGCACAAGCTATTAGCGTTTTTATCATGTTTTAATGCAATATTCTCAATACTAAAATGATCATAAAGCATATATAAAATGATTCTTCAGTAATTATTTATATAAAGACAATTACCAGAATCTAAAGCTTTATAATTTCTTTTCTTTTTCAGATTAAAATAGAACCTTCAGAAAAAAAAATTGCGCATTTTTTATGAGACGTTCTCGAGAATATTTTTACAGGGGGATGATTCGGTTACATAAATTGGAAAAACCTGACACTAAAGTATTAAAACTATATCAACAGCAACACATGAAATAAGGATTCTTGGTTTTGTCTCTTTTGGGGGTCAAACAAAGGCCCTATGAACTTGGTCACAACATTTACGCCATATTTAGAAATGTTTGCGCCTTTCTGACTGACTGGTTAAAGCTTGTCAGATTTAAAACCTCCAGGAAGCGATTATTTCTGTATAATCCATTCCTAAATTTCCTTATTTTATTAAATTTCCTTAATATTCACTTTTCTCTAAATTACTTCATTTTTAACATATTGTTAGAATTTATGCAGAAAAAGTCCAAAAATTATTTTTCAGCCCTTCTACAGACCCAGTTGTTATATCCAGTGTTGAGTCGAAATAATTGTCAATTTACATTACTTTACAGATGACCTCATCTAGATATCTTTCATTATTTCGATGTTCATTTATGGAACAAATTACTTTTGCATGTACGTTTTTCACCAACTGTAGAAACATTTCGTACAAATGTAGAAAAATGTATTATAATATGCCGCAACTAAAAGAAATATAATTCCATGTCCTAAAATCGTACATGTAATTGTATTTGTACGTCATATTGTGTTATTTATTATAATATTGTACAATGTTTTTATAATTGTTTTATTGTGAATGTGTTTAGAGGGCCCCCAGGAAGACAGGAAGTGCATTGCACTAATCGGGTTACCCTCTTTAAATAAAGTATTATTATTATTATTATCAGAGCTTACAGGACTGTGTCTTTGTGAAGTCTACTTGTGTAACAATTATAAAAATCGGACCAAAACTGAAAAAAAGAGTTACTGTATTGATTTGAAAGTGATACTTGAACATTTCATATAAGTAATCATATAAACACACTGATCAAAAACAGAGTAAGGTGTTTAGTTTTTAACGTTTTATTTGCATCAGATAAACCTGAAGGAAAAAGAAATTTTGAAGAAATTTTGTGGTTACCTTAAATAGAAAGTTTTGATCAATTCCTGCAACTATAGTGAAATTAGGCACTGGAAGAAATTCACTATGATAATACGGAAACACTGTTTATAAAATAAAATAAAAACTGATATGCAGAATTATGTACAAAATACAAGATATTTTATTCACCAATGAAGGGGCCCGACAGGCATTTCAACATAGTACATAAATTACAATTTAAACATTCTTTTTCTTTTTTTTAACAATGTAATTTTTTTAACAGTTATATAAATGACCAAGTTACATAATGATACTGTTTTCAGTGTCAATGATCATACATAATATAAGTGTCCAGAAGAATGTCAATGATCACAAAGCAATGCAAAAATGTGATGCTATACATGTATAAATTTAAATGGCTTAGCATTCATAAACATGATGACAGAATCTATGTAATTATACACTGGTTCATTTACCATTTTCAGAAATAAATTGTCCAAGTAAGCATAAAATTTCTTTATTTTCATTATTCAATATCTGACCATATAAGTTTTTCAGCAGGTGTCAAAGAAGAGAAGTTTGGGTTGATTTTTGATATTGTTTCCATTAATTGCAACCTTTCATTGCTATATTTTGGACAAATGAGCAAAAAATGTACATGTACCTTAACTAGTAGTCTTCTTCTGTTCAAAATTTTATATAGATAAAGCTAAAGCTTATAAGGAAAAGTGGCGTTTGGAAATAAAAATAATCTGACAGACATTTAGATTTATCATAACCATGGTATCACCGTTCATCAAAATCAAAAACCGATTCATAGAACCTTCTCATACTAAAGAAGTGTAATCTAAGAATAACGAACTGTCAACAATATAGTGTATATTTGATAGGCTTATTGATTTATCTTTATTTATATGGGTTATATGAGTAATTATTTGATATTCTTACATGTATATATACTCGATGAATTTGTTTTAATCACTCTAAAATAAATGTAAAACAGATCATTTCCCTATATATGTATTTATGATTGTTTATGATTGTTTACATTTAAACTTGCCATGGAATATTTTATCTTACTTATAAATAGAATCGAGTTGAGAATGCTCACCGTGTCAACTTCAAAGGTTTATTGTTTTATGAGATTGGAAGGGAACATTTTGAAATCAATTTCAGATATATATAAAATAAAACTTCCATTAAATAGCTTTCTTGAATGCTCACCGTGTCAACTTCAAAGGTCTATTGTTTTATGAGATTGGAAGGGAACATTTTGAAATCAATTTCAGATATATATTTTTTTAGCTTTCTTACATCTTCGATTTTTTTTTTGCATTTGTATATCTACAAATAATCATCTAAGCCATTTTTAAAAAGGCAATATACAATAATCAGGTGATAAGAATCTTTTTACATCAACTACAAGCAGACCTACCTGTGTGGAGATCCAAGAGAAAGTGTCCTTTTCTGCTTTAAAAAATATAAACTAATCAAGCAAGACCATGACATCAGTAGCATTGTTTTGAGAATTTAAACTGTTCTGTCCATACATTATTGAAGATGCTATCCGTCCCTGGGGAACCGCGCACCTGTTAGGTGTAAAACATCCCATCAATAGCATCACAGTAAATATAAGGGTATCATTATCACGTCGTCTGAGTCAACAAACCAGGCCCAAAGCTTGTCAACTAAGGCTCATCGATACCATACTTAAAACAGGAGTCGCAAAATGAAATGAAAATCTGTGTTTTGGATCGAGAAGACTACTAAAAACAATGCAGCTGTACATAAAAAGAAAAGGATTGCATAACAATGCAGATTTTGTTATCGTGACAAAGGTTAATTAATCATAAAGACTAGATCTTTTGTACACCTGTTAAATTACATCAAAATCAATTTTCTGCACCAAAAGGTAAAAGCAACGTTAACACGCGACAAGGGAGTGACGCAGGAATGTCTATATTCAGAGGAATTTCGAAGCGCTATTTTATACGTATATGCAAATGTATATATAATATGCTTAAGCTTAATCCTTTTTAAATACATAGTGATTTTAATAAAAATGCTATTCAGGTAACAAAATTTTATTTCAATGTTTCTGTAAGCTATAATGTCAACTTGATTTTAGATCATGAAAGTTGTTTTTAAGTTTAAAAAAATACTTTCTTGCAACTAAAGGAAATGTAAAGTGTATCTTATTCTAGAAAACTATTCATAAATGCATTTTTAAAATGATTAAGCTTAATATTGTATACCTATGAAATGTAATGTCTCCGGTTCAAATAAAATACAAAATACAAGCTTTTTATTCTTTTCTTTTTAATAATCATTGAGCTTCCATTTCAAAACATGATTTGTCTAAGGTAAATTTAATGATCACGAAAAGAAAATGATAAGATTTACCTAAATTTTAAATTAAAAAGAGTATTAGTTAGGTTTAGAGTGCAGGTATCTGGGATAAACAGAATACACAGTTGTAATGGTGTACTTCCCAATCCCAGTGTTTTGATAACCATTTCTTCTGGTTCATAATTAGTATGCTATGGTATACAGGTGAGAAATACCTATAGTTCACAGCGTCAAAGGTTAAACTCTTAGTGTTTAGATAATTTCCCGCAGCTTTTTTTTTGAATGCTATGGTGTTCAGGTATCAGGGATACCTATAATACACACAAGCAGTTGTTTTCGTAACAATTGACATAAAATTTTGTCAGTACTGACAGATACTTTGCTGTAAATATTCCACGTTATTTACATTAAAACAAAATATGTGAATTAAATATACTTTTCATAAGTTTTATAGCTGCTTTTTTTCAATATTACCAACAAATGTTAAGGGTTTTTATTTGAATCACCTTAAAGGCTTTACGATATTGTGTAGTATTGCTGCTTATATGGCAACTGTTCTAGAAACAAACTGTGTCCACTTTTAGTCCAGCGTATGTCAATAACTTATATTTTCATTGCTTAGTTTTTATTTCATATGTTCGACTTCTGGCAAAAAATCTGTCAGTATGGTTTTTGTAAAAGGGAAAATATTATACCCATGCATTGAAAGTGTCTATTAAATAATTAATTTCAATCCTAATGCACAGTGAAATTTATTTATTAATTTAAACAAAGAGTTGTGAGAATTTTTAATTTCAAAAAAACTTCTAGAAAATTTCTATAAAAGAATTATTAAAAGAACTTGTTCTCTTGAAATCCAATGAAAGAAAAACAACTTTTGCAAAAGCATATTATAATTCTGGTAACTCCCCTTGACTTCAAAACCTCTCTCATGGCACTTGTACTATTACATGAAAATGTTGCCTTAAATGACCTATGACCGGTCGGCGGGGGATGCTCACTCCTCCGTGGCACCTGATCCCACCTCTGATGTTTTGGAGGTCCGTGCTTGCTCTTCTCCTATTTTGTATTGTTTTAAGGACTTTGATATTGAATACTGTTCGTCGTCTGCATATCCTTCATACTTTTACATATTAGCCGTCTTTGATTATTTTATCAAGTTTTGTGAATTAGTTTATACTTACGCGATATGGAAGCTGAAACATTTGCTGAAACATTATTCAAAAGTTGGATTTAACGATACGGGCGTCAGTTAGAGATATATTCCGATCAAGGTAGACAATTTGAAAGTCAACCTTTTAAAGAAATGTGCAGAATGCTACAGATCAACAAAACAGGGGCAACTGCTTACCATCCACACTCAAACGGGATGGTAGAGCGATTAAACCGAACTATAAAGAAAATTATATCGAAATACATTTCAGCTCATCAAACAGACTGGGACAAGTACATAGACGTGATTGTTCACCCCATGAAACAACGACTATCACCCCATACAGAATGGTGTTCGGTACAGAACTCTAGAGCTCATAGATGTTATGACTACGGAATTAACAGAGGATGAAGCAATTCGAATAAATGAATCGAAATATGTGAGAAACCTGGAATGTGAATTATATTTATCGCACAATATTGCAAAAGAAGTTACAAAGAAATTATCACAAAGACACAAACATTATTATGATATTATTAACTACGACAATGGAGATATGGTGCGTCGCAATCAACGCCAAATTATTACTGGAGCAAAAGCAAAAGTAGCAAGGAACTGGACAGGACCATGGTTTATTTATCAAATCAAACATTCCAAGAACTCAAAGTCTGTCATAGTGCACGCTGACAATATCAAACCATACAGAGGGAATAAACCTTCACGACCGGCTGCTAAATCTAAATATAACAAGAGGCCCATGGGCCTTATAGGTCACCTGAGTATCATGTAACAACTTTTCAGCGATTGTATTTGGTTCGTGTTTTAAGCCAAAAACCATGAAATTCACAAATTTTGAAAGAGGCACCATTGCTTATCAAAGGGCAGATTTCAAAGCATTAATTTATTTTTAGTCAAAGTACCCCCTTGGTACCCCTGACCCAGCAGCCCTGAAATTATCTATTTTGAAAGAGGCCCCTTTCTTCATTATAAGGCCAGCATTTTTTTATGTTTAGGTTTAGTTATGAACATGAGAATAAAAAAGTCCCGAAGGAAAAGGAAATAAATTTTTTTTTTTGATAAATCAATTATTAACATTTGTACATTCTTTTTTTATGCTATCCTAATAGGCTCCTTATCACTGGACACATAATGCTTACAAATAGGAAAGTAGAACATTTAATTGCTTATTTCATCATATGCCAGTTTGGGCCAGTTATATAAATTTTGTGATGTTGATCAAAATATATTTTAAAAAATCAATTCTTTAAAAGTCTTTCAATATATCTTCATTTTTTTAATATGTGTTAGGTGAATGTGTAGACATTGTTCTAAAATTTACTTGATGCCTAAAATTATAATTCCTATCATAAAACAGACAGGGAGTATTGGGGAGTAGGGTCAACACTTTTTCAATTAAGTGTAAAAGATACAAATGATACTACATGCCTGTATATATTTGTATATTCTTGCCTTCTAATAGTTGAATTTTTTTTTTATTTCTTCAGGTTATTGTTTATTTCTTCCTCAAATTGACTTCACTTCTCCCATAGTTTTATTCATTACATCTGATGCATAAGCTACCCTTTTCTGAAGAATGATGCTTAGACTGTAAGCTATAACAGAGACCTAAACAATGTCCCTGGCAATATGCAATAGCTACCACGGGCAGTTTAAAACCTGGGGGAGGAAAATAATTTACAGTTACTTTTGAAACGAATACATAATTATCTCACCAGCATGTCATTGTGCAACAAAGTCGTCAGCATTTTATTTGTCCTTTGAACGGGTGAAACGTTTTGAATGGCACTCTTATCGATGAATTTTACACTAAACCAAGCTATCTTCTCAGATCTAGCTTTATTTACCCGCCGTTTCATCGTAAAACCTGAAGTGCGAGTTCGTAAATTTGAAATCTCGATCCCGACTCAAATTTGACATCGGAAAGAAAAAAATCGTTTTATTTTTTTCTAAAAATTCAAAACCTTGAGCGGAGGGTTTGTAAAACTGAAAATAAAATAAATCCTGGCCTTAAATATGTAATTAGATCATTAGCATATTAACCAGGAGCAAAGGATAAGATGTTCAAAGAATTCATGTATTTTCACTATATAATCAATAGAGCCCCGCCCTAACACCAGAACCCCAGACCCTGGGGCCATAAAATTCACAATTTTGGTAGAGGCACTCTTGCTCATCATAACTATGTACTTAGTTGGTTTATTTAATACCCAGGAGCAGAGAAGAAGATTTTCAAAGAAATAATGCATTTTCACTACCTACTTATTTAGCCCCGCCCTAGCACTAGAATCCCTGACCCCAGGGCCATGAATTTCACAATTTTGGTAGAGAACTCATTGGTAATTACAATCACGCAAACAGTTTGACTGCTTGATGTCCAGGAGTAAAGAAGAAGATTTTTAAAGATTGCATTAATTTTAGTGGTTTTGGCCCCACCCCTCAGGCCCCAGGGGGGCAGGGATCATGAAATTCACAATTTTTGTTTCCCTTTACCCATAGATGCTTTGTGCCAAATTTGGTTGAAATTGGTTCAGTGGTTGCAGAGAAGAAGCTGAAAATGTTCAAATGTTAACGCACGACGAACGACGACGGACGAAAACAGATAGCAATGGTTTACTCAGGTGACCTAAAAATGGTGAGATAGCAGGAGCCCCGTGGCGTGGCAGCTGCGAGTGTGAGACTGACATGCAAACGACCAGAGACCGCCATGGACGCGACCCAAGCCTGTCACAGCGGAACAGTCACAACCCGATAGCCAATAAGAAGTTGTTATCAAAACTACTCGTTGATGAAGAGTTATAAGAAGACTCATCCGGTAACCAACTGACCATTCTATAAATGATGTGTGAATATTGCAGACATGTTTTTGAAACGAAAAGTAACTTACATCAGCATCAACGTAAACAATATGATCAATTGATTGTTTGTTGTTTAGCGTCACTCTCGAGAATTTTTCACTCACATGGACATGCCACAACTTGCCGATGGAGGGCTACACATTCTGACCTATACTCGGTACTTGCGGCCATTGAGCAGGGAGGGTGTCCTTTCGTACCAGCAACTTCTGCGACTCGGGACTTCGGTTTATACGGTCTCATCCGAAGGACTGGCTGAACAACATGAAATTTTGTCAAAACTGTTTTCCGG